CTAAGGGGTATATTGTATTTGTGGTGAAAACTTCGGTATTAGCAAAAAAAACTTAGTATTGTTACCGAATATGACTGCCAATACTCAGATCAGTAGCTGTTTGATGTCCAAGTTTTTGAGGGGGTGGGTCACAACTAGTACCTGGTCCACAACAGGGGGCCCTCTCCCTTACAATTCCATGTTAGCTTTCACCACATAAAAAATAAATCGGATCGTAATGCTTTCTGTGCAGCAAAACCAAATAAAAACACATACACAAAAACACTGCCAGCAATTATGGTTTACTTCTCTCGCAAAACAAAAGACTTGCAAAATAAAGTTGCTTCAACGAATAGTTAATTTTTAAGCTTTCGCTTTTATTCTGAATTCTTGATTTCGTTTTTCGATGCATCTCGCATTTAATATACATACATATGTATACGTCGAAAGCGCGAAACTTACAACAAAAAAATCCGAAAACCAAAAAAACACAGAAAAAAATTGTTATAAAGCAAAACAAGAGACAGAATATTTTATACCGAAAAAATAAGCCAGACATAATTAGTAGACTTGCAGAAATAAATTATGTATTCATTTACACACATCTTTGTATTGCATTTCAAACAGTAACAGCTTCGAGCGGTGCTGTGCCTAGTGTGGTCGAAGTGGTCAAATGTCAAATGCAGTGCACACCTCTGGTCACACCACTGGTCGCCACAAGAAATATATGGCAAATTTAGCAAGCAAACATTTGAAAATACTAGGGCAAGTGTTTGTTTTATTAAATGTTCAAATCAGTTTTATTAATTGCGTTTTGTCTCTTAAGCTCTTTAATCTAATTTGGAATAATCAACTATCGATATTAATGCCAATAGAAATTTTTCTTGCACTGCTTTCAAGCAGTTTATATTTCATAGCAGACAGCTCTTGTCAGTCCGTAGAAAGGCAAAACAAAAGCTGGCTGCAATGAAATGGGGAAAAGGAATCATTTTTATGGCAATTATTTTGTATTTGAACATTGTTTGCGGCCCAAGTCCGGAGAGGAATCGATGGTAAGGGCCAAGCAGGCGCGTCGCCAGGGAGGAATCTACAGCACGGAATCCGAGGCGGAGAAGCAGCAGTACGCCCACATCCAGCAGTCGATAGCGGAGCATCTGCGTCAGATAGATACCCACATGGAGAACGCCAAGATGGCACTGCAACAGAGTCTCCAAGCCACTCCCGTGTCCACAGTTGAATGAGTTTTGGGTAATTGTGTATGAGCAAGTGGATTGACTGTGGACTGGATCCTCTAGAGCTTTATGCCCCCTCTCGACTCCTCGTAACTCGCTCCCCTGTTTGGCCAGACAGGTGAAGCCAAGCAGCAGCAGCAGCAGTATCTCAACGAAATGGTTAAGTTTTATTGTGTTCCTGCAGAGCCCAAGAATACATAGATATCTGGATTGAAATACGTTCGCGAAACGAATTGTTTGACATGCCAAGCCTTTTTGGCACTTACACTGATAGAAAAAAGGCATAGTAAAAATAGCTACAATCATATTTGAATTTAAAATGCCATTTTTAAATACAAACATAGTAAAATTTCATAGCATTCACTTTGATTCAATTATAAATGTATTAAAAATGCTTTTTTAATACGGTCATATTTAATCTAAATACAAAACACTTCAAAATAACTTTAATATATTAAATTTGTAGTTTAATATGTTTCATATTTAAATTGAATATTATTATGACTTGATTTCAAAATGTTTCTTTTAAAATCCAAAGGAAAAGCTTTTTATTTTAAATATTCCATATTAAATGAAATCAAATATTTTTTGTATTTATTTTAACTATGTTTATATTATTTTTTTATGTCCCTCGAATTCCCAACTAGTTCCAGCTGCTGCTGCCTTGAATGCACAGTAAAATTATCTTAGCCCAGGGGCATATTCACAACCAATGCAGTCCTACTCATGTTGCGATTATTTCTAGTTGAAAACTTTAACCAATTCACACCATGAGGACTTGAAATGTAATTTGCGTACGCAAAATAATAACCAATTAGTTAAAAATGAATATAAATATAAATATGAAAAATATTAGATTTAAATATTTAACATATTAAATTTAAATATGAAGCATATTAGCATTAAATATGAAACATATTAAATTTGAATATGAAACATATTAAATTTATATATGAAACATATTAAATTTAAATATGAAACATATTAAATTTAAATATGAAATATATTAAATTTAAATATTTCTATATTAATATCAAAATTTAAGTGAAAAATATTCAATTTTAATACAACCACTCTTGGATGAAAATCAATGGCATAAATATTAAAATCTAAGTGAAAATATTAAAATTTCAGGGCTTTTTTCTATCGGTGTATATATTTCCAAAATCAATCAAAACAACTCGATTCGAAACGTTATAACAATGTTTAATTATACAGGCCGATTGCTTGCTCTTTTGCCCGGCCAGATAAAAGTACACAAGAGGGTTCGGTATGCAATAGCATACGAGCGCAGCAGCACTGCCGAACGCTGGGGACTAAATAGGTTTAGGGTTTTAGATGCTCTTATACAGATAGGTACTGCTACATTTAATATTATAAAATCTACGCTTAAATAGCCGCTGGCCCGAACACTATTCAATCAAATCAAATGTAGAATGTAGAATTTGAACTATAATTAAGGGAAATAAGATAGAAAATACTCCTAGCTGAAACCGTTTTACAAGCTAAATGTGTTGGAATTACAATTACCAGCAACTTGCAAGTAATATGTAGTAGCATTCCGTACACACTTATGCACACACATACATACATATGTATGTACATACAATATATGTACGATGTAAATACGTTTTGTGGCTGCCCTTGCTTTCAAATTGGGGACACTTTTGTGGCAAAATGACCTAAAAATGCTACATACTATATTAGAAAAAGGCTTTATACATATTTACACACAATATATATGTGCATATGTACCTACACATCTATCAGACTTACATATTTTTCAATTTCCCTTTCGACTAGTTTTATGACAGGGAAATTGTGATAAAAGCTCAGTTTTTCAGCTCTTGAGATTTTTAAATATAAATTGTCACAGGCATTTAATACCCCTTAGATGACTTTGTGACATGGTTGCTACATACATATGTATATGAACTAGTCATTTAATATATTTTAGAAGCAATATTTTACTCCCCCTAAAGCTGCATTTATTTATTGGTTTTCTGAGAGGGTATTTAAGGCTTCGATTCGTTTACGCCACTCTTCTTAATGTTTCTCTTCTTTCGAAGCTTTTCCTTAGTTTGTGTGTTTATTGTTTCACCGCCTGACAAGCGTAACCATAGAGTTTCTGGCAAATTGCATCACAAGCGCGGCCCCAGTCTTTACCAATCCACACTCACATTCACATTCACACTGTCGCTGACACTCTCACTTAATGACGACGACTATCATCCAGGCTAGTCGGACTCCGACTCCGACTCCAACTACGACTACGACTTCGACAAAGTCTTCGACTTGGACGTGTGCCCAGTCATTGGAACGTTACCGGTGGCTCGTGCTCTTCCAGAGGTGTCGACTGCAACTTGGCGGGGGATCTCCAAAGGAAATCGTTCCCCTCTCGCAGATCCGCCCATGGATGTGGCAAGTCTGAGGTCGTTTGTTCATCTATTGGAATTGCAACACGCTGATTGCTAGCTGCAAAGCTTTTACGATTCTCCATGACTCCTAATGAGTCGCTTTCTTGCATGCGACTTCTGGCTGGACCGAAAAGTTTTTCCATTTCCAGTTGATGGGAACTCCGACTCGATCAAGTATTTCATGTTCATGTCGCAGTCTCACGTTTCAAGTACAGTTACGCACTGGATGCAGGTTACAAAATAGATACATACATATGTACATACTCGTACTTGTATACGCAATTCAATCAGGGGAAATCCAGTAGTTTTTCATCTTTTCGTCTCACACTCTGGAAGGTGTATGCGGGTGCTCCGGTGGATGCTCGAACTTTGAGCTGTATTGTTTTCTTTTGTGTTCTTTTTTGATTGAATGTTTCCCAAGGTTCAATTGATATTCCTTCAGGAACCCACCACCCAAAACTCGTACATAAATAAATAAAATAACTATCAGCCTTAGAACTGACCTTAGGTCATAATAAAATGTTCTCAAATGTTCAATTATGAAATTATCACAAAGGGATGTGTGGACCGGGGGTGGGGACCGGGATCGAAGACTTTCCACTTGACAATACGAATATTTTTTGTGATAGGTGTTTGAGGCATTGCGACATTTTTGTGCCAGGTGCTGTTGCCGTTGCCGTTGCCGTTGCCTTTACTTTTGCTTTTGCTTTTGCTGGTGTTATTATTGTGGTTATTGTTTGGGCCATGCACTTAAGCGAGTTCTGCTAGTTGGCATATGTACGGTGGACTGGTCAGCTAACTCATGAGGTCACTCCACTCGGGCACTCCAACCCAGCCTCGATCCACGCCTCGGCACTCGCACCGCATTGGCTTTAGCGAAAATTGATCATAAAAAGCATTCGTTTGGTTTCATTTAGGCAACGAAGTTGGTCTCCTCCACTGCCCCTGCCACTACCACTGCGACTGCCCCTGCCCCAGCTTCTGTTGCAGTTGCATTTTTAGTTTGCAATTTGTATTTGCAGTTGTCGGGTTTTTGTGAGTGCATATTATGCCTTCTGCTTGTTTGCTTTATTGCGCTTTTCCACCACACACACACACACACACACACACACACACCATACACCCAAAAAAGAAAAAAGAAAAAAAGAAAAACCATACAAACATACATACATATGTATACTATATGTACATATCTATGTACCTTCGGCTGTGCAATTCCGAGAGACTCCATGCAGCTCCATCTCAAGCTCAGCTGCAACTCCAACCACGAACGCACGAACGAACGTTTGAGTCGCCAGCTTGTCCATTGGCTTCCAGAGCTCAGGCACCCAGCTCCCAGCTTTGGCGGCGCTTGATCAGTTGCGGTTTTTACTTTCATCGCTTCGGTCGTCGGAGTCTCGCTGTCTTCATCATCGTGGTCGTCGTGGTCTTGGACTTGCCCAAAATCCGAAAGAAACACCCAAGCAGAAACGTGCCCAGTGTGTTCAGAAAACAATTTGGTTGGCTTTTCTTTTCATTACATTTACATTTACATTGGCATGGCTTGCCTTGGCTTGGCTTGGGCTCATGTTTGTCCATCCACTTGCCACCCCATCACCGTGGGCTTGGTGTGTGTGTGAATGGATTCACTACTGCATTGGCTTGTACACTACTCGTGCAGGGTGGATCTATCCATCTATCCTGATCCGAACCCCAGTACCGTACCCATAGAGCCTTTTCGTTGTGAGGAGGAACAACCATTCTTTAATATCGCCCATAACCATAATTACGTATATCAGCGAGAATATTGAAAAGTGCAATCTTTGTGTCCCTCTTATAGCCACTGAATTATCGGGTATCCGAAAGTCATCACTCGGCCTCTCACTTTTGCCCGATTGTTTGTTCGTTTAATCGAATTCGAATTCGAATTGGCTGTACAACCATTGCCACCCACACTCCTAAGCCACTCCGAGAAGCGTTTGCTAGAAGGGGTCAACCAGTCCTGCACCCCAGAGTACCTGATTACCTGAGTGCCAGAGTGCCAGAGTGCCTTTCACTTTCCTCCTGCAACTCGTAGAGACGTGAGCCAGTCCAGTCCGGTACCGAATTAAGGGTAATGTGAGTTCCGTTCTGATAGTAGCTCCAGGAGCTCATCTGTCAATTGAAAGCAATTGCATAATATGCTGAAAACTGAGTAGGCCGAGCAGCAGATCATCATCACACCAGCGTTGCGCATTGATACGTTGGCGCGGAGACACGGAAGTTATATAAGCAATGATACCAATAACCTCCCGACGAGTCGGCATTTTCCAGCTTAGCCACGACCACGACCACTTCTCTGGTGGCTGGATGGTGGCTACTGGCTGAATTCATGGATGCATGGATGCCTGGTGGTCACAACACGTTTAACAAGTTTTTCTCTTTCAGGAAATTTTGCAATTTTCCCTCTTGCCAAAGCAGGGGTCTCTGCCTAGAAACAAATCAAATGAAAATCGATTCATAAGCAAGTGAAAATTGCGTGCCAAAGTCCAAGTCCATGCTCACACACACTAGGTCCCAGCCCCAGCCCCAGCCACAGACAGGGACCCGGCCCTATTCCCTAGTCCCTTCTGCATCCCACTCTTATCACGATAAAGCCCTCGTTTCAGTTTGCCCAACCCACGAAGCTAAGGAGACCGCCAGGGTTAATTGGAATCTGAGATAGCGACAATGACAGCTAGGCAGAGCAGAGGAGACGATTGCCCCCACTGTGTCCCAAGGGAGCTTCATCAGTATACCTAAGAAGAGGCAGAAAATGCATCGCAGAGATTAGCTGAACATTCTACAAGATATTACACACAGCCTCGCAGAAGAGCCAGACTAGAGCCAAGGAAGCGAGCAGCAGTCAGTGAAGGGAGGGAGAAGGGAAGGAGGGAAGCTAACGCTAAAAATGCAATCCCCAAGGATCGCTCTGGTTGCTGGTCTAGTACTCATTGCCTGCCTGCTCCCAAGCACTAGCGAAGGCTCCACAGAGCCCCATGAGACTCTGAGAGCGGAAGCATTGACAGGACATCAGTATTCCGGCGGGACAAACATAACCGTCCTGCATGAGGTGCACAGCGATGGGGAGATCCCAGTTGATCCGCCTCTCACCCTAAACACCCACGAGGTGTTGCCCCTGAAACCGCTGAAGAAGAAGCCCTACCTACCCCTGGAGAAGATTCTGCCCGCTCTCGAGTACGTAAAGCCGCATCCCCTCAAGGAGTACGAGCTGCATCCGGTTACGTTCGATTTCAATCTGGGCGATCTCGAGGATCTGGAGCACGAGGTCATTAAGAAGGGTGACCTCACCATCCAGGAGCAGCATGTCCTAGGCTCGGAAACGGTCACTGGCACCGAACTCAGTTATAGTCCCGATCCTAATCCCGACGAAAACGACAACGTCGATGTGGACATTGCCGAGCCCCGGTCCACAGAGCCCACAACAGCCACATTGCTAGCCACCACGACGCCAGGCTCAGCCTCAGCCTCAACCTCAGACTCCTCCTCACCCACTCCCAGCACCCACATACTCAAGATCCTGAGGAACAAGTCACCGCCGGCCGCCAAAATTGGACGGGATCTGCTCAAGCAGAGCGACGATGAAACGCAGCTGAAGACCCTGGGGAGCACCATCAACAGCATCAGTCGGTATCTAGGGAGCAACGCCTCAGCCGCGGGAATCAACAGCAGCATGGCCGAGAGCATGTACGGCTCGCCCAATTACTTCCAGATCGTGGCCAATCTGTACGATCACTTCTACTGGCAGATCTCGGAGATCCGCACCAGTGTGCGCACAGGCTGTGGCCTGGAGATGCAGGCCTACCTCACAGCACTCCACTCCAGCTACGAGTGGGCCCAGAAAGGTGAGCATCCACGAGATCCTTACGAGAATACCCTCGATATCGAACTTAAACTACACCCATGTCCCATATTCATATTCTAGCCTACGACTCCTCGGGTCGCTATCGGGGTCAGCTGCTTTTCGGGAACGACAAGTGGCTGGGGCAGCTCTCCTTCTGCTATGAGCTGAACCGCCAGAGCACCAGTGGAGAACGCAAGCACATCGACCTGGAGTTTTATGTGGCGGATGTGGCCCTGCATCTGCCGAGACTGAATCGATCGGTGAGTGAATAGGGCTCCCAGAGGGCCCGAATATCTCGGAGCTTGCACTTCATACTAAATGTCCATCCATTAGATGCTGCTGAGTCTGGGCGAGTGCCTGCCCAAGTCGTGCTCGGCCCATGATGTGCAGTCCATACTCTCGTTGGATCCCTATGCCCGCATGCTAATCGTTCTGGGGGCCCACAACGCCTCGCTGCAGCAGCCTCCACTGCAAGTGCTGCACGTGCGCACCGTGCCAGGGGTCTACAGCCACTGGCGACAACTCAAGTTCCAGGTCTTCATGTAGGTGCTCTGTGCTATGCGAACCCTCTCATCCCTTCATCCACAGCCACATATGATAGATTGATAGATTTAATCAGATTCGGTTCGGTTCGGGGTCTCTTGCAGTAGCTTTATGCTCACCCTCCTGCTGGTCGTTCTTGTGGCCTCCTACTACCAAATGCGGATCGATGAGCGGCGCCTAGTGGCTGCCCCCATAGCCGCCATCAGTGGCAAGTGCGACGGATCATCAGGCAAGAGTGGGAACGATTATGCGGTTGGCTTCTATGGCAAGCCCTTCGAGCTCTTCCAGATGCGACCGCTGGGTGGCAACGGCAATGGCACTGCCAATGGCAATGGAAATGGAAATGCCCCTGACAGCCTCGATACGGATGTCAACGGGAATAGGCAGCGCTCGGGAGACTCCACTGAGGTCGCAGATGGCTTGACTGCAGGGGCTGGTGAGACAGGAAGCAACCAAATGCAGGCCACCTCAGCCTCTGCCTCCGTGGCGAGCAAGTCGGAGATGACAGACTACCAAGTGGAGACGGGAAGCTGTACCGGGGCGGCTGGTACATACGAGGCGGAGCAGCCCATCGGTGAGTTTGGGAGACTACCCAGGACCCAGGAGTCCGCTCTCTGATCGGTGTGGTCCATCCTCCACAGCTTTCCACCAGCAGGTCCTTCTGTGCTTCGCCCTGCAGACAAATGCCAAGGCCATACTGAACATTGACAAGACAAAAGAGGTGAGTTAGAGATTTCGACATGGGGGCCTCTGCTAATCTTCTACTCTCCCAATGGATCTCCTTACAGACACACACCTCCTGCCTGCACGGACTGCGCGTCTTCTCCGTGCTGTGGACGATGATGGTGCACACATATCTACAGATGTTTGCCATAGGCGAGAATAAGGTAGGATCTTGAGTCCGGATCTCTAGTCTCGAGTCGAGTGACCTGTTGTATTCCGATTCCGATTACAGTTTGAACGCGTGATCACGGAACGCTCGGTGTGGTATCAGGTGATTGGGAATGCCACCTTCTCGGTGGACTCGTTCTTCTTCATCAGCGGCCTACTGGTCACACTTCTCTACCTCAAGCAGGAGCGCAAGCATCCCTCGGAGCCGTGCCTCTTTGTACGACGCAGCTGCACGGAAAGTCTGATGATGCTGCTCTACCGCTATCTGCGTCTCACGCCCGTCTATCTCTTCGTGGTCATCTTTAATGACTTTGCCGTCAGGTGAGAATGGGTGGGGTTTATCCAAATGCTTATCAACGGGTTCACAGAGCTCCTCTGCTATTGCAGGCAAGGCCTGGACTCGTCCGTGTTCCAACCGGCCAAGATCGAACATAATACATGCCGCATCTACTGGTGGCGCAACATCCTATACATCAACAACTTCTTTCCACAGCGCGAGATGTGCATGATGTGGAGCTGGTATATGGCCAACGAGATGCAGTTCTATGTGATGGCTGCCCTGCTTCTGGCTTTCTCCAGAAAGTGAGTTCGCCATCATCCTCTGGGATCATGTGTCGCTAACTGTCGCTTATTATGTTCCGCAGATACTTCAAGGCAGTGGCTTTGACGTTGATCGTCTTTCTGCTCAGCTCCTGGAGCGTCTCGGGCATTGTCTCCCTGCAGCATCAGTACACCCACAAAGTGGCGCTTCCCTTCGAGTCCTTTGACTTTCTATACGACAAGCCCTGGCAACGTGTTGGATCCTACATTGTGGGTGAGTAGCAGCACCACCATACACCATGGTAAATCCTCTAAACGTTCCTTCTCTGTATGGCTCTCTTCCAGGCATGTTCACCGGCTACGTCCTGTATAAAGTGAAGACGCCACCGCAGGTCTCGAGACGCCTCAACGCAGCCCTTTGGTCGGCCAGTCTGGCGACGCTCTCAATTGTCATCTTTGGCGTATGGGAGGGACAGCTGAGTACCGGGAGCACCGCCTTCTATGTGGGCGTCGGACACACGGCCTTCGGCTGCGGAATGGTCTGGATCGTGCTCTCCAGCTGCTGGGGCCTGGCGCCCACCGTGAATGCGATTCTCTCCTATCGTGTACTGTGGCCCCTATCACGCCTCACATACTGCGCATACCTAATCCATCCAATCATAATGTTCATCTGCTCGTCACACATGAGCGGCACTGTTCACCTGAGCAATTTGCTTATCCTCACCCTCTTCCTGGGCAATGCCGTCGTCTCCTTTGGCTCTGCGTTTGTGATTTCGGCCCTGTTCGAGGCGCCTGTCATTCGCATCCTCAAGATATGCTTCAAGAAGTGATCGGCTATCGCTGATCGGTGATCGGTGATCGGTGATCGGTAATCGGTAATCGGTAATTGCTGATAACTGATATAATCGATGCGATCTGTAATCTGATTGTTGATGATGATTTTCTAGCCCAGGGTAGCTCGTTTCGTTAATTGTTGATGGAGCTTACCCCGATTCCAGTCTAGTTGGTTGTTCAATATTTTATTATATTTTTTTTTTTTTGTGTGCTAAAACCTCTTAGAAATATGCACACACCGATGTCAGCTAATTTGTATACTATATCAAATAATATTTAGGTATATGCTATATACGTACAAACTCACTTTTCAGTTTACTGCTGTTTTAAGAGCTTTTCCATCGCAATTTTCAAAAGACAAATAATTTTATCCGATGAATGGATCAAGTTTCTATAAGATTGGCTAATTTTTATAAGCGTTACTTTGTTGCATTATTTTGTAAAATTTTTTTGAAACGAAAACATGTCTAAAAATAAGCGAACAAAAGTATTGGAACATAATTTTCCAAAATGCTCATGCCCTCCACCACAAGACTCCGACAAGAATTTTCACTGGCGGAAACAGAGATTATTTTGAATCGATAAAAGATAATATATCGATTAATACCAGATTGCTGTTTCGCTGAACAGAAAGAAAAAAGTATGGAAGTAAACAAGCTTTCTTTATTGAAAAATTTGAATCTTTAACGGAAACAATTTGGAAATAAAACAAAATATGGTAGGGGTAAACGTAGTGCGTGTACTCCTGGTCACAGGTTATTTTTTTGGCAGCGAAAAAGTGTCTTGGCTTGGCACTAGGGATTTGAAGCTATAATAATACAATACAATAATAATAGCCACCAATGTAAATGTGCGTAATACTTTTGGCGAAATATATTCGTATTTTAAAGTTATATACTTTATGTACATTTTTTCTGTTGGTTCTTTATTTTTTGTTAATTTAAATTGGATTTAATTCTGATCGAAATCGGATCAAGCTACATTCAAAACTGTAAAGTTTATGCACAGCACCAACCGATAATAGTCTGTAAATACAGAGCTTGCGCTTTTTTAATTTTGCACTTTTTAAGAAAAAGCTAAAAAGCAGTCTGATTATTCTAGATACATTTTTAATGGTCCCCGAACTGATACCGTATAATTGTATGCATGGTTAACATTCCTGAATAATTTGTGCACATCTTTCAATCAATTTCGAACCAAAATTTCATCTATAGAGACACGTATATAAAATTTGTTCGTAGACGTTTCGGTTTTATAAGTATAGCCCCAGCCTCAGCGCCTCTCATGACGTCTCCGATAAACAGAAATGCCTAGCCCGTTCTGGATATAGTAAATGGATTAGGAAGTCTGGAGTGACCTCAATGTTGACTAGGTCGTAGCCGGCGTCAGCAATCAGTCTCTCCTCCTCGTCCAGCACAAAGTACAAATCGGCGGCATGAACCGATCGTATATCGTGGGCGGGATAAAGAATCTTCATGGCATCCCGGCGAAATAGTTGAACTGCATCCATAGCCATTCTGCGTGCCCGCTGGCAGCCATGCGCCTGCTGACCAACAAGATGTACGGCCTGTGCTGTGTCCAAGTGTAGCAATAGACGGCCAAAGATGAAGTTGCTGAAACGCTGGCGCTGCCACGCGTTGTACATGGAGATTCGCCATGCAAATGGGTTAAACAGGGTGAGTGCGATATATGCCATGAGCAGGATCTGCACGCAAATAGAGATGCTGAGCGCCATCAGCATGCATTCCTCGTCACACAATTCAAAGGGCGCCCTATTCCAGTCCAGCTGCGTATCGCCACTCGAAGTTGACCCTGGGAATCGGGAGTTCTTCAGCATTTTGGGAAGAATGGTTGCAAAAACTGATTCAGGAGCAAAAGCTTGGAATTTTAAATTTTGGGCTCGTTCGGGGACTGTTGGGGATTGACAGATCTCTATAAAACTGAACAAATTTTCTATGTGTAAAAGGTAGGAACATCTCAGCCCACTGCTCGCTGAGATTAACATTAAAACGGCCCTGCTTCCACCTGGCTACGAGTATAACCGTTACCCAACGAGTACAGCGGTTTATTAAGTGGGATAGGCGGATTCCACGAATATATTTTATAAGTTAAATCAAAATGAAGAAGGAGATATAAAGAGGCGAAAGAACGGCAGCTGCCGTGAGTAACTATAAACGGTTACAATATTTATATCCAGTGGGCAATGCAAATAGCAAACAATGGTGGAATTACGTTATTTTGCGCCACTGGCTATTATTTGAGGAATTTGTTGGGGAATTTCAGGCTGGGAAACCAGCCTGATAATATAATATAATATAATATATAATAATATAATAATAATATAAATATAATAATATAATTTTTTCAACGTAAAAATGTATAAAATAGTCCTGGTTCTAATAAAATGACAAATAAAATTAGAGGTAAGAAAAAAAATCTCACATGAAAATCTCCTGGGAAAAAGAGAGATATCGACTTCCATCCGGAGCATAGTTCAACGGTTCAAAAAAGCCTAAAAATTGGAAATTTTAAACATGATGCCATTCTTTGTATGTATCGCGACCACCTTATATAATTGCACCATAGGCTATAAACATCGATGCTTGACCAAAAAAACATCGATGCTTGACCAAAAAACATCGATGCTTGACAATAAACATCGATAACCACACTCAATACACGTGCAGCGTGCGATTCGTAAACAAAATGTATATTTATTAATTATTAGCGCAATACACGAAAGTAAGCCACAAAATGTCACGTATAATAGTCAAACAGCTGCCCAAGCATGTAAGTAAGCCTAGTGGAATACTCCTTCCCCACCCACTGATCCCACACCCCACCCACAGATAACCGAAGACAAACTGCGCAACATCTTCGGTGCTAAGGGAACCATCACCGACCTGCAGCTGAAGTACACGCCAGACGGCAAGTTTCGGCAGTTCTGCTTCGTTGGCTACAGCACAGAAGAGGAGGCGCAGGATGCCATTCAGCACTTCAACAACAGCTGCATCCAAACGAGTCGCGTTCGCGTTGAGTCCTGCGCCGCTCTGGGCAGCGAATCCAAGCCGCAGTCTTGGAGCAAATATGCCAAGGATAGCAAAAACAACCTGGATAAACTTAAGGCTGCCGAAGAAGAGGAGGACAAGAAAGAAAGCGCCGAGTCAAAGAAGAAGGCCAAGGCGAATAAGGACACCAAAGTCGTCGAGATTCTGGGCAAGCACAAAGATGATCCAGAGTTTCAAGAGTTCTTGCAGACTCACGACAAGACACGCACTCTGTGGGGCAACGATCTTGGGGTGAGCGAACAGAACGCGGAGAAGGAGGACGAAGCCGAGCTAACAGCTGGACGTAATGACAGCGGCGTCGATGCTGACGACGTCGATGACGAGCCGGAAGCCGATGAGGAAGAGTCGCCAGTGGACGACGAGGGTGAGAAGCTGGCCGAGAAACCCATTAGTGACCTGGAGTACATGAAATCTCTGATGGCCGGAAACGCCGCAGAGCCCATTACTCCAGCCACGACCAAGAAGAATAAGGTGGAAAAAAGTAGCCTGGATCTGTTCACCATCAAGATTCACAATGTTCCATACAACACGAAGCGCCAGGAGGTGCTTAAGTTTTTCAAACCCCTCAAGCCGTATTCGGTTCGCCTGCCCGGAAAGGTCCACGGGTTCTGTTACGTGGGCTTCAAGACCGAAAAGGACATGGCCAAGGCAATGGTAAAGAACAAGAGCTTCATCAAAGGCAAACAGGTCTTCTTCTCGGACTTTACAGAGAAGAACAAGGTGACCAAGGCCAGCAAAAGTGGATTGCCACCGCCCAACGCCCCGGCGGAGAGCGGAGCGAATTCCAAGTGGAAGCAACAGCACGATGGCCTAAACAAAGAGGAGAACATCTCTGAGTCGGGTCGCATATTCTTTCGCAATCTGGCATACACCACCACCGAAGAAGAAATGCAGAAGCTCTTCGAACAGTACGGCCCCGTCGTTGAGGTCAATCTCCCGGTGGATAAGCTTACACGAAAAATCAAAGGCTTTGGCACGGTCACCTACATGATGCCGGAGCATGCACTTAAGGCGTTCAATGCCCTCGACGGCACGGACTTCCACGGGCGCCTGCTACATTTGCTTCCCGGCAAGGAGCTCGACAAAAATGACCAGAATGAGATAGACGAGGAAGATTCCGCGCTCTCTTTTAAGCAAAAGAAGGCCCTTAAGCTGAAAAAGAACGCTCAGAAACCAATTGGCTGGAACACGCTTTTCCTCGGTTCCAATGCAGTGGCCGATCTGCTAGCCAAGCAGTTCAAGACATCTAAAGAGCGCATCTTGGACACTAGCGAAGGCGGCAGCAGTGCCGCCGTCCGTCTAGCTCTCGGCGAGACTCAGATCGTGATCGAAATGAAGAGATTCCTCGAAGAAGAGGGCGTCCGTCTCAGTGCCTTTGACGAGCCCTCGCAGAAGCGCTCCAAAACTGTAATACTAGCCAAGAATCTGCCAGCAGCGACCGAAGTATCGGAACTGAGTCCCATCTTTAGCCGTTTCGGACCCATTGGACGTTTCGTGCTGCCTCCCAGTGGGGTCACGGCTCTCATCGAGTTCTGTGAGCCGTCGGAGGCACGTCAGGCATTCAAGAAGCTGGCCTACAGTAAGTTCAAGAACGCTCCCCTTTACCTGGAGTGGGCACCGGAACAGACCTTTGCCACAACGCTCAGCGGCGAGCCGATCATACCGAAGACAGAGCAGGAAGAGCCTAAAGGGAAGGAGCCGAAGGAAGCGACGACGCCAGAAACGAAAGAGGAGACGAAGCAGGAGCCTCTAGACGAGGAAGAACCCGAGCCGGACACAACCATTTTCCTGCGCAACCTTAACTTCAAAACCTTGAAGGAGACCGTGCTAGAGCATTTCCGCCACCTGGGCTCCATTCACTCTGTGGAGATAGCCAAACGCAAGGATCCTCAGAACCCCCAGCAATTCAGCTCGCTGGGCTATGGCTTCATACAGTTCAAGAAGGCGTCAGTGGCAGATCACGCACTCAAGAATCTGCAGCTCACCCACATCGACGGCAATCCCGTGGAGCTCAAGCGTAGCGATCGCGTCCTCAAGTAAGTATCATAAGGCCCCAAGACAATGCTCAACATGCCACTGATTTTCATGTTATCTCTGCAGAAACCAGAACGAGGACGCATCCCGACGTGGACAGGCGGCGCAGAAGAAGCAAACGGGCACCAAGATCCTGGTCCGCAATATCCCCTTCCAGGCTCAATACCGCGAAGTACGCGAGGTGTTCAAGTGAGTGACAGCTAAATTTGCTGTTTCCCTTGATTAATCCAGTGATTCTTCTCTTGCAGGGCCTTCGGCGAGTTGCGCTCCCTTCGCATACCCAAGAAGGTTACAGCGGGCGAGGATGCCCATCGAGGCTTCGGCTTTGTTGATTTCATCACCAAGGCGGATGCCAAGAGAGCCTTCGATGCGCTCAGCGCCAGCACCCATTTGTACGGACGCCGCCTGGTCCTCGAGTGGGCCTCACACGACGACCAGAACGATTTGGAAGAGCTGCGAAAGCGGACGGCAGCCAGGTTTGACGACGCCCAAGCGGGAACGGCGGCCAAGCAGAGTAGGCGTGCCTTCTTCGATGTCGAGGGCAGCATCCAGCAGGCCCCAGAAGAGGACGAGGAGGAGGAGAAGCAAGGCCGTGGTCATAACCGGGATCGTTAGACGCTTTTGCGAAGTTGAAACTTGTAATGAGTCCTGTATCATCATTTCCTGTATAAAGCAGAAAATACATTTTTTTAACGAAAACAGTTTTGTTTTAATATTTATGTAAATGCTCTTTTCTCTTGTTGTTTATGTATCACCTGACAAAATAAGAAAGCAGAGAGAATGATTATGATGTTTGTAGAAATGATAAGCAAAACAAAAATTTTGCGCGATGTCACTTACATGTATGTACATATGTAGGTACTATGAAACTATGGAATTATATGGCTTCTTCTCCGACCCATGAGTTATTGCATCTTTTTCTTTGATTTACCATGTAGTTGATTATGTAGTTTACGCTTTAACTCAATCAATTTATAGGTCTTATTATAGAACCGTTTCAATTTATACAAATTTGTCCACCGCGTCTGAGGCTAATCGATCTTCAGAGACACGTAGATTTCATCTTAACAAACATCGGGCGATTTATGCTAAGTATGCTGAAGATATCGGCAGGGCTATAAGAGTCTCGAAACTATCTTCTCTACCGATATTAGCATTATTAGATATTACACACATATAGTGAGGCTTTCCGGAAAATTCTCAAAAAATTAATGAAGTCACAATTTCTAAATAGAATATATTTTATTTTACGTTTTTTTATATAAAACCTAAACAATTAATATAAAACAAGACGACGAAAAAAAAAACAGAACTATATTTAAGCATACACATACTCGAACACCGCACATAATCGCCAATCAATCTTCATCATACACTTCGGTAATTATAGTCCTACGAATTTTAATGATTATTTAGGCATGTCTCCATATATATGTATTATATATATGTATGCATAGAAGTATTTATATACTTTTAAAGTTGAAAATTTTGCATTTTTGTTGGTGTTGCAATTGTTGCAGTAAGCTAGGGGGAGACGGGTGGCAGGAGCACGGGTTACGGGTTACGTGTTACAGGTTACAGGGTTTGGGGCACGGGAATCCGATCGTGTGCGTAACGCCCTCCTAAGTTTTGTGTATACATATGTATAAAGCAGAAGCATATCATCTATATGAATATATATATTAGGATATATTTTTATATGTATCATATGTACGACGAGTATACAAGCAAGAAGCTACATAAGTAAGCCTTGGTAGTGGGTCAGAGCCAGGGACAGGGACAGGGACTGTGTCGCTGGTGGACGAGGAGGTGGATCAGCTTAAGTGTTGGACACTTCAGCATCCGTGCAGGGTATATATTTATGTTTGTGTATGTGTGTGTGTGTGTGTGTGTGTGTTTGTGTGTGTGTGTATGCCTCTCCAGTGACCGCCAGTTTTGAACAGTTTTATAATTTTCTTCATTCATAAGTAAGTTTATCTTTTTTAAATCCGTAAATCGTTGGCAGCTTCCGCTGCCGCTTCCTTTTCTCCGGGTATATACAATAGGCAGCGCATTTTCCTGTGAGTGTGTGTGCTTGTGTGTTTCTTGGATGGATTGGGATATGAGACTGGGGCTTGGCGTGTGATCTGGACAAGTGTTTCATGTACGCGTGCTATTGCTATTTAAAATAAAAAAAAATATATATCATCCACTCCCATCTATCCCACGAGTGTCGGGTTCCCGCCTAATTCTAATTCTTAATGCGAGCCTGCAGAAAGCAGTAGAGTATCCCGGCCTGGGCCATCACATCCACAGTGCTGGCCGCCAGGGGGTCCTTCTGCTTCACCTGCGTCTGTCCCGGCCGTAAAAGGGTGGGCCCAAAGACCATAGCCAGATTGTGCAGGGACATCTTGTTATCGGCCTCCTTCTCGTGGACTCTGCAAGAGAGGAACAAGATTAGCTGGTCCAGATAATAGTGGAGTCCCGAGCGCATCCCTACCTGATCAGATGATCCAGGATCAGACAGATCGATGCCTTGTTGGCCGGCGGTAGCTCCTCAAACACCTTGAGCAACTCGTTGGTGCGTGTGGCCTCATTGTTGTTGCTCAGCGTGCTGAATGTGTCGAAGAAGCGCGGATACAGCTGATCCGTAAACAAGGCTTCGGGGAGCTCGCGCAGGAAAGTCTTCAGAATGCCCGTCACCGAGTGGATGTCCACCTCCCGCAGCAGCTGCTCCGCCTCATAGGCATCTATCAGTAAATGAGCAGAGAAGAATGCTATTCAGGGGGTTCATTCGGGATGAGGGATGATTGGAGCTTTGCTCACCCGACTCGAAGGCTTTCTTCAGCTTGGACAGATCCGAGGCAGAGCCGCTAACGCGATAACACCCCACCTCCAACATTCCACGTCGCTCCACCTCCCGTATGCAGGCACTGATGATGAACGGAATGTCACGTTTCTCGCGTCTTACCGGGGGAAAAATAAATACACAAACATCAAATGGTGCTCCAGGAGGTAGCAGGCAGAAGCTTACTTTAATACTTGACTCATTTTGGCGCCAAAGAGGGCGCCTGGCTTCGTGGTGGCACGGCACAGCTCACCGGGTACGAAACGGAAGCTGCAGCTCAGTTCCAGGATCTCGCTCAACTTGATCGTGCGCATCTGGTTGGTCTCAGTGAGCCAGGTGTGGCTCAACTGCAGGAGAGAGAACAGATTAGTTGAGGGGGGCTCCTGAAGGGATTAGAGTCAGAATCTGAGGAAGTCACGTTACCTTCAGTATGTGTTTAGCCCTCAGCAGAGGACGGTCTTTCGCCTCGTAAAGCAGGATGCGCACATTTTGGCTGCCCTCCAGCTCGAGCATAAAGCTCTCGTTCCACAGCGGAGTCTGGCTGCGGCAGATTATTTTGGTGGTGGCCTTGCGAAAGTAGTGCCCATAAGAGTCCACCTCGACGCAGATATAAAGATCCGACGGCTGCTCGAGCCCGCCCAGGCCCTGGATACTCATGTGGAGGTCACCGACGAGGAGGCTCTCGTCGTTGGTGTTGCGCATCAGATACGAACCCATTTCAGTCTTCATGCCCTTCTGCATGGCCACAATGAAGGCGGTGACCTCCAGCGAGTTGATGGTATTCGCTCCCGGCAGATTGCACTTTTGCTGGGGTGCGGAGAAGAGGAGAGGAGGGAACCAGAAATTAGTCTGTTGCTCAGCCGAAAGTGGCCGCTCACCAGTCAGTAGACACTCACCTTGAGCGAAGTGATGGAGTCCATCCAATGCGTCCGCTCAAAGTCGGAGCTGAGGAAGAAGGTCACAGTCTTATTGTTGGCCCTGTTCCCCAGGCGCAGAACTAGATTGGGCGTTGCCAGCACCAGCTGCGACTCAAGATCGGCCAGTTTGCGGCGGTACTTGTCGCCGGTGCGCACCCCGTTGGCCTCGAGAATGAGCTGGTCGCGTACCGAGCGCAGGTTGCGCTTCACTTGCGAAATATTCGCGGGACTAGATTCCTTGAACTCCGCCGCGCTGTCGGCCTCCTCGTAGACAGTGATATCCTTGAGTGGTATGAACCACTTGAGCTCGTAGTCAATGCGATCCCTCCCCAGGGCCTTGTACTTGGCGCACGCGATCACGTCATTGAAGAGGAAAAGATGCCGCAGCTTGCGATGTCCGTCCACGAGCTCCACGATGAAGGAGTTCCGTACCATGCGCCTAAGGTTTCGGTTTGACTCCGTAGGCAGCCGCTGGCAGACGTTGAACTGGTTGAGGAACATCTGTATGATCTTCTGGGCCTGCCGGAGCGGCTGGTGGTCCGGATGGTTGGCTGGTGTCTCGCGCAGCAGATCGTTGAAGACCATAGCGTTGATCTGCACCCTGGCCACCGGCTTATGCAGCAGATCCTCCAGCGTAAGCGACTGCTCCGTCTGCAGGTTGACGACGATCGTCGAGACGATCTTCTTGAATTGCGGGTTGCTGGCGCTGCACTTCTTCACAGTTTCGATGGCCTGGCCGTAGTTGTGCAGGAAGGCGCTGTACAGCTCGAACATGTCCGCTAGCCGCTTAAAGGCCTCCCCAATAAGCACGTCGCCGCCCTCGTGGGACACAATCGTCTTCAAGTCGCCAAGGAAGGCGGTGTGCACCTCGAAAAGCTCATCGATCTTGAAGAAAATCGTGTTCTCCTCCTCCTCTTTGATCACAGGCTGTGAGGTGCCCAGCGTCGCATGAATCGCCTTCTTATACTGCATACATCCAAATGGGAATAGGATTATGGATTATGGCTTATGGATTTCGAGTGGGTTTTCACCTGGGCTCGGTTTATTCTCTCACCTGCATCATCTTGTTAAGGCACTCCACGTAGATCGTCTCGCTGTGTATTATCGAGCTCAGGATAGATCGTATCTTGGCACCCCGCGCATTCCCACTCACCTGCGAGAGCGAGAGCAATAATTTTAGCAAGTTAAAACAGACGACGACAGAAAGCTTAGATGTATGTATATGTATATGTATGTACAAGTGCTGGATAGGCGGAAATGTCTACCACCACGTCTCACCATTTCCTTTTGCATTTCCATGCCACCACAAATTACAAATCGACTCTGCCGAAAATGAGGAGAGGATATCATATACACTGATTATTCGTATGCCCACTGTGTGATATATTGATCTAGCGAACGAACAATAAATTAATCAAAAATCATTCTCTATGGCCGGACCCAAAAGGTGGGCAACAGGTGAGAGGTCATGGCTGCAGGACAGAATACTCATTATTTTTTGCTGTTCCTCACTATAAATCCCTTTACTATCGATTTCTGTTTTGTTTCGGGCACACATCCATGATCTGACAGCTCTTACGATGTAAAAAACAGAATTCGATTAACCGTTTCTGTATTTATCAACATTTCTTCGGAACATTTGAAAGAGCCTTTTTGAGTATTTTTTCATGGTACATTTATGCACCATGGCTAATACTTGATGGCTTAATAATTCAAATAACCAAATAGCCAAAAAAAATCATTCGGAAAATTCACGAGTTAATTGCATTTTTGCGGCCGTCGGCCGGGATGAACATTGATAAAGTATAGAAAAAACTATAATTTCTAGGCTCGAGGTAACGTTTGAGCTATACAAAAAATATGGATGTGGAAAATTGGAGCTGGAAGCAGTTTAGGAAGCCAAGGCTAAGAATATAACAGGCTATAGAGATATGCTGATACGATTTCCATCGATATTCGATAAATCAGAGATCATTTGATGGCTTTCTTGATGTACAAATAGCAGACAAACTTTCTTGAAAACTATGAGAGCTTTATATTAGGTCAGACGATGGAGTTCTTGTGTTTCTGGCAATCCATTCTAAGCGGGACAATACGAATATCATTGCAGGTCTTTAAGAATACAAAAACATGAAACAAGCAAACCAAACCATAGGCGGATGAACTGAATGAAAGTGAGGGGTACAGAAGCTGCGACATGGACAGAGCAGAGATGGCGATGCAGACGGCGAGGCAAGGCTCGCTTTGGGACAATGAATACAATGAATACAACGAGTATAACGCGATAATGGGGGTACGAAAGGGTGCACATATATAGTTTATACAATAAAAATGAACATACGATGTAGACGAGCACAACGATTTGTTCGAGTGTGATTAACAAGAATATAAACTGAAACAGATACGAGGACAGGACTCAACTGACTGATATTGCACACGGTAATCACACGAAGTGCCAGTGTAGGGATTGAGGGAGGCAGTGGTCGGGCAAGCTCATTGAGAAGCTAAAGCTATATATGTACATCATATACAGATACATTTAAATTTATGTATATGTACATATGAGAATACATATATAAATGTACGGTAATGGCTGATGCAGTCGATGGATGCTCGCTAATGGGAGCTAGCTGTCAAATCATTGCACTTTACAAGAAAGGGTCCAAGTTAAGATTACAACTGGATCCGGTACTCACGAGTATCGCTGAAACTAAGTTCTGTTGGGAGAAGAGAACAAAAGAGAGTGAAGATAAAAGAAACAAAAACTCTTGGTTAGTATATTAGTAATTCAAAAATGTTATAGCTAAATCTACAAATACTGGTTATACAGTTTATGGACAGGGCGGGACAGCATGGATGTATGATGTTTGATCTAAATTAGATATAAATACTTCTATTTCATTTGATCCCAAGGGATGAACAGTCCCTTTTAGAGAAAGAATATCAGCGTATGTGATGATCGTTATCAAAAAATAAATAGTATTTCTTATTCCACCATTGGACCATTTCTATGTGCTTTCTTATACTTATACATATATATATATATTTTCTTTGGACCCAACGGATTCGAAAAAACGCATAATAAATGTACATTTTGTCGATGAGTAAATTTTAATTAAAGCAAACAAATTTTAAGAAAATACAGCTAAGCCAGCAGTGTGCGCACTTGCACCGGTGCAGTGTGTTTTTTTTTTTGACCGAGTTTTAAGATCGGTTTTTGGCTCCGAACTCGGCTAGAGTGTGCTCGTATCCTTAGAGCTGCCACGTCTCCAGTGCTCAGAATGCTGACTGGTGGATATGTTCGGTAGTCTCCTCGTCCTAGCCGAAATGAACATCCTAAAATCATGCGCTTTCGACCAGACAACCATATGTAATAACAACCATATACAAATGTAACCGTACGCACATACATATGTAAATATATTCCGTTTATCATAACTGAAAAGACTGGTGACTGGGAACGAGCAGCAAACAGACCAAACAGACCATGTGAGGCATACATGCGGACATATACTGTCAAAAGCAAGCACAGACCCGATATATGTAGCTACCACAGAAAAAAGGATATTCAAAGAAATTTCAATTGGATACCCAATCAATGTATAACGTATTAAGGTATGTAAATAGCACAGTGCCACAAAACAAACAATTTGAAATGGCGGGTGGCGGGTGGTTGGCTTACTACGGGAACACCACAGCGATATGAAGTTTCAAATCAATTAACGATGACAAAATATGGCAAATGGCGAGTCGTGTGCTTAGTCATAAGGTTACATCAACCATTGTTTCGCCCGGAGCGACTAAACCTCTCAGCTTCTCTGCTTGGAGCGCACCGTTTGGCAGTGGTTTCGCTGGAATGGGATGGGACTGGGGCTGGGGCTGGAGCCAGGGATGGGGATTGGGGAAAGAGCGAAGTCATCCGTGAACAACAAACCTTGCGCAGTGCACCTGGCGTGGTTTGTGACGTGGTCTGCTCGTCGTGTGAAATGGTGCGTAGAATGGGCGGCCCCTCGTACTCGCCATCGCTATCCAGTGAACTGGAGCGGGTTTCATTGCTCTGTCTGCACAAGGAAAGAGAATATGAGTCAATATCTTCGGGAATCGAACCACAGAAGGCGGCTGTGAGGCAGGCACTCACTGAAGAAAGTAATCGATGTTCACATAGTTGGAGGTACGGCCAGGAGATTCGGGATCCACCACACTCGTCTGACTGCTGAGCCCCTGGGCCATGGGCAAGGTGCTGCTGCCAGGCGTGGAAAGGTCATCACGACTCGACGAGGACCCGGTGCGGCCGGGCTTGATGAAAACGTACTCCCCGTCGCCATTATCCAGCGGAACGCTGTCATAGTATGGCTCGTGGTCTGCCGGCGACTGATGGGCCCCCGACGCTGGCGCCTTGGCGCTCTCCGAACTCAGCGAGGAAACGCTCTCATAGCTCTTGATCTTTGCAGAGAGAAAGAGAGAGATCATGCTCATGTAAATAAAGGTATGAAGGGATGGTCAGTCTGGTCAATCTGACTGGCACTCACAACTTCCGATATGCCTTGTGATGCCAGTGATTCCTTGGAGCCAACACTGCGCTGATTCGCTCCTCCGCCGCTTCCACTGCCTCCCTCTGCGTCGCTGGCCTGTAGTCGCGCACCTCCCTTCTTCTCAAGGCTGCTCGTGGAGCTGCTGTCGGCCACCGCCAATTTCGCAGTCTTGTTTAGGCTGCCTGTGGGCGAAGCGCCGACTGTCCCCGCTCCAGTGCGGCCCGGATTCAGAGTTCTTCCGGGCGTAGAAGAGGTACGCCCAAGGCTGCTACTGCCGCCGCTGGCGGAGCCAGAGGATGCCTCGCTACGCTTGGCATGCTCCAGACTGTCCATCTTGCCGACCATTTTACGGCCCAGCTCCTCCATCAGCTCCGGGTTTGTGACGAACTTCCCCAGCTCCGGCGTGGTCTTCCTGTTGGTCATGTACTTGGCGTCCAGGTTCTCTGACGATTTTTGTCTGAGAATGTCCGAGGGCTTGATGTTGCGCTCCAGTGAATTGCCCGGACTGTCCGAGGAGAGGCTGCCACCAGAGCTGCTGGGCAAGGGCATGGTGCTACCCGCATATGTCGGAGTCTCTCGCTTGGGCGACGACGACAGCTGGTGATGCTGCTGGCTGGGAATGGTGGGCGGATCTACGCGTCGTATATTCTTTGGAGGAGGTCTGCCGGGGAAGGATCACAGCAGAGGATATCCGAGTATAAGTAAGTGCATGGCGGAGAAAAGTAGATAGAAGGCACACTCACCTAGGTGGCATTTTCTTCTTGGCTTCCACATGGCTCATATACGAAGTCAATGATGGCGACAGGGGCGGGGCCGAGGGCTCTGCTCCCAATCCAGCTCCTCCTGCCGCATAGCGGGAAAATGTGGATGGGGGCGTCGGCTGCTGTTGCTGTTGCTGCTGATCGTTAACTGACGACATGGTTGCCTCGTCGACCTCTTTATCTTTGGCCTCCTTGACCTGAATGACGGTTACGTACTGCGACGTGGACTTGCGCAGCGGCAGCCTAGCGGATGACTCCCGCTCCGCATCAACGGCCTCCGGGCGCTTGACGCCTCCACTATTGATTGACGCCGCTAGCTCCGTGATGCATTGATGCAGGGCTCCGTTGGCATCCTTCTCATTGCCGCTGTCTTTGTCTCTGTCCTCCCTCTCGAAGCTGTGCTCCACACCTCGTTTGTCGCCCGCAGACAGCGCAGAGTTCTGCCCACTGCTTCCTGACCCGTTCCCACTCCCATTTCCCACTACTCCTCCACCTGTACTTCCACTTCCGCCTGCTCTACTCCCGCTGCCAGCGGCATTCGATGTGTATTTGTTGTCTGTGTTGAGCGAGAGCCGATCCTTGTCTTTGCCCCCAGCCACCGACAACGAGGATGACTCGCGCAGATTTAGGCTAGATTTCTGTAAGAAGAGAAGTGGGGAAAAGTGTGAGTGTACATAAATGTATGTGCATACATGGCATGCTCTGTTAACCGATCTATCTATAATTGATACCGATATCATATAAAAATCTATAAAAGGTCTGTATACTATGATGCACTCTAAAGAGCCCCACCATATAATGGCTTATATATTGTACTTAAGAGTACATGTACGATATTCCATGATTAGATCCAAATGAAGGTGAAATGAAGGTCTGAATGTGAAGTGGGAATATCTCCCAGATCCAACATACATATGTATAGTATAGTATAGTACTGCGTGGAAAAGACAGATCTGTGCATAGTTAAAGGGCAAAAGCTTCAAAACTGTGGGACAAGTTTACTTATAAACGGACATAAGGATGAGCGAAACATGGCTATATCGGCTAAGCTGTTCATTCATATATGTATGTACATATATGTATATACTTTATTGGGTCGGAGATGGTATGTATGAAAAAGCTTTGAAAATCGAAATGAAAACGAGAAGGAACGTGTGAGTCGCTTCTGGGGACGCGACTCTTCTTTTACACCCGTACTCAGTCAGTATATAATTTTACATTTTTTTGCTACATCTGTTATCTACATCTACAATGTTTATTCTACATCTGTATGAGCCACCTCCTCCGCGGGGTTGCTCGCGCACTAAACGCGGCAGAGTGTGCGAGCGAGAAGGAAAATGAGTTGCGGTGTCGTCTTCTGGAGGGGGGCAGGGGAAGCAACTGAAAATTAATTTCGTCATTCTGGCTATAATTATGATCCGATCTGATTCAGATTCTCGGCAGTCTGGTAGATATATGGATATTCTCTACGATACTACGCTTTTACTTTTCTGGTATCTTTAAAATTGTGGCTGCCACAGATTTTCGTCCTTTGTGATGGCGGATGGGGGCGGGGCGAAATTTTGAGATACACTTGTAGCAGTGTGATATCACATGAGTCTGGAAACCAAATTTGGTTGCCCTAGCTCCTATAGTCTCTGAGATCCAGGCGACAAACCAGACAATAAAGTAAATATATTCTTGATCAGCATCAATAGCCGAGTCGACATAGCCATGTCTGTCTGTCCGTCAATCTGTCCGTCCGTCCGTCTTGTACATCGCCTTATTTCTCAGAGACAATAAGAGATACAGCAACCAAATTTTGTATCCAGACTCCTGTAATATTATCCTGTATTGCATTTCAAAAGTGCATGAATTAAAATAAGTACATACCAGTCCGATGCAAATTCGGTCGCTATATATGTATATATATAGTCTACTAGGGGGCAAGCCCCCTGCTCACTCGCTTCGCTCGTTCACCAACCCCCAAATCTTCTATATCATTTTATAGATCTTTATTAAAAAGATATTTTTGTTTTGTATTTTGTTCGCAGAGTTTTGCAATTTTGTACCCCAACTAACCACTTCTGTCTTATGTAACGCAACTTCAAGTCTTAGTTTAGCCTAATCTCTAAAACCATATTTTTGGTGAATAAAACACTACCCACTTACTATTAAAGAAGGCTAATCTTTTTGGCTTTTTCATTATTTTTTTCAATATTTTGTCGTACAAATCTAACGCAACGCCAGAATCAAACTGCCAATATGTCTATTTAATTGCAAACAGCACTTTGATTTCCAGAGAAGTATAGGGATACTTTCCCCGTGGTAGGCCTAAATTCCGAAAAGTTTTTACACTCGAAATGACCTACCTAGATTCCCCTTTTTCAGGAAGGTGTTAATTGGCCGGTTGCTGGGTCTTATCTGAAAGGAAAGGCCAGCCAAGCCACACACTCCTCCAGCTCCCGCATACACAACTACTTATACCCAACTTTTCTCCGTTTAGATTCCCGGCACGTAACGCATTTAATTTTATTTAATTTCGTATGTTTGGTCTTCTTTTTCGGTTCCATTTAAAATGGCAGAAACGGACAAACCTGACTTTTGGGACCGGCGTACGTGTGTGTGTGTGTGTGTGTGTGTGTGTGTGTGTCCGTGTGTTGGATCGCTTTTTATGTTTAATTCCAAAATTTGCTGTCTTTGAAAAAAGTGAAAACTAAAAAAATAGTAGGGGGAAACACTAACAACTGTAAATACAAATGAATAAAGAGAGCAGACACAAAAAGACCAGCAGACAGACAGACAAACGCGTTTATTACCAAAATGGAAAATTGCCATGACAAGGCAGGAGGAGGAGGAGTGGAAGTGGGAGTGGTAATGGCGTGGTCTATCCGAGTGATGTGTGGGTGGTTAGATGGATGGATGGAATGTGACCAAGCGAAGCGATGAAGAAAGCGTGTACAAATCGTCAAAGCCCATCAAGGAAGGTCGATGGCTACTCTTTGAGCTCTCCAGATGCCTGCTCTCTCTCTCTCTCTCTCTCTGTCTCTCTTACACTCCTGTGCTCGCTCTTGCTACATATCAACAATGCTTAGCAATTGCTTAGCATATTCTCCAATTAACAGTTAGTTTGCTTGGGGTCACAGGCAGCCAGCCGCTTGTCACAGCTGATGCGCTTGCGTGTGTGACTAATGCCAGCTTCCACAGAAGTGGTTCGGCTCGATAATGCACGAAGCTAGTCCGATAATGAATCGACTCTAGCGTGCCTTTGGTTAGTTCAATGCATTACTTCCATTAAAAACAAAACTTGAATCTTATGGAGTAGTTGAGCCCCAGCCCCCCAGCTGACTAGATCTCTCTCTCTCTCTTTCTCTCTCTCTGGGGAACAGCTGTTATTGTGGCCATTTTAGTTGAGTCAACTGCTCTGGGCTCTCTCACCCCCGCATATTGATAGTGTTAGCTTATCGGTGCACACCATCGGATTCACGAATTTTCAAACGAGTACGAGTATTGTATATACATACATACATATGTACACTTATGTACATACATACATGTGCAGGTATTTTTCAAGTGCCTTTTGCCTAAACTCTTTTTAGCCACTTTCCGCTATTGCTTAATTTTTTAGGTACAGGTACATATGCATGTACACGTACACGCACACGCACATTCGTAGACGGGTAGAGGTGTGTGTGTGTGTGGTGCGGTGCGGTCTACAATGTTATATGGTATTTTTGCGATAAGTTTATTGATTTCAAATTGTGATAATACAAAAAAAATTATTTTTTTTATTATTTCAATGATTACGCACCCCTCTGGACCATAATTTGAATTTCTCCTTGAAGGAAGCCATTCTCCTTCAGCGCCACTGTGTGGACGCACTGTCGCTTTTTTATCACTCTCTCACTCTTTCACTCTCTCTCTTTCTCTTTTATATTTGCAGCAATGCAAGAAGAACAATAAAACGAACTGGAAGCGAGAACAAGGAGAAGCACTACACTGCACCGATTGATAGCCTCGGGACAAACTCCGCCCTGCAGAACCGTAGAAAAGAAACGGACGCAAGAACAACAACTCAGGGGAGCGACGACGCCAAGTGACGCTAACTGCGACGCCACCAGCCCGGATGACTATAACTACGTCCACGACGACGACGTCGACGGCGACGTTGACCACGAAATTTGAGTCAACCGAACACGTTACTGGAACGGTACCAGAAAGCGAAGGCGGGGGGCTCAACGGCCGCCGAGGCTGACGCAAAAAAAAAAATTAATTATTAATTTACGTAATTGTTGGGCTGTTTTTCGCGGACAGCGCAGGTGTTTTGCTTGCTTTTGTTCCCACTGTTAGCCGAAGCTCTGGAAATCGGCCTCTGTTATTGTCCCAAAGATTCACTACTGATGCGTAATGTAATGTCACGGGAAGAGCGGACCAGAATACCATTTGGCTCGTGCCCGTTGCCGTTATTCACAACTGCTGGCGGCGACGACAATGACAGCACCAGCGCCACGAACGGATTCCGTAGTCGACAAGCGACACGCAAAACACACACACATACACGCGTGCACGGACAGATATGACCAGTGAGAGGGAAATGGTATGTGTAGATAACGGACAAAAGTTACAGATATCGAAGTGGTAGTACCCATGGGGATATGTAGGCACACACAGAGATAGACGTATTGGCAGCGACGCAGCAGAAACTTCAGCTGTCGATCAGGAGAGAAGAACGATAGAGAGAGCCCTCGACCTACATATGTAGGGTAAAGGCATCCCAGAATATAATGCGTGACTCTGAATCTAATAGAGGCGCTATTAGATTTTTCCTTCGACCAGTTTAAGCTTTTTTTTCATTTAAAAATATTTAAGTTTATTTTTGTTAAGTGTCCTTGCCATTAAATCTAGCTCCTTTGGCCGACGTCAAATAGTTCGAGACATCTATTTTAACATTTTTGAACCGATCATAAGGATCGTTTTTCCTCTTTCCTTACCCCTTTTCCAAGGGTGGCACCACAAAATATTAATTAATTACTAATATTAAAAATAGTTGCAATTATATTGTTTTGTTATTAGTTAATAGGAATCAAATTAACTTATTGCAAACAATTTAATTTTGTCTACAAATGTGTGATTTTAAAAATAATTTTTTTCCCAATATGTGACTGTGATATGATAACAACTTAGTATGGACTTGTGTTTGAAATTGATTTAGCTATAACAAAAAATAAAAATTAGACAAATCGGTTAGCATTTGCGAAAACCACCGACTAGAGAAGTCACAAATGCATGAAATTTTAAAGTGCTGCTTTTTTTTGTAGCTGGGGGGACATACGTATGAATGTAGGTACATGCTATGTAGTCATTACAGTAACGATCGTTGAATAAAAAATTTCTTCTTATTCTTGTTTAAATTTTTCCGGCCTTTGAATTCTTCAAACCAATGTTCATCCACTCGTTCATTTGTACTAGTTCCGCTCAATTTCGATAGCTGCCGGGTACGATAGCAGCTTCTCATTCCCTTTGACTCTCCCCATCGACACCGTGACATGGGGCCACCTACCTACATATGTACATACATATTTATGTACATACATATGTACAAGCTAAATTGATTGCGCTGCTTCTTTCTCTTCCTCTTCTGTTCGATAGTGATAAGCAGGCAATGACATTTGCAAAAGAAATGGACAGCGCAGCTGACAGCAGCCTACGCGTTATTTCTGAGGGCCTGCTATCAGTGTTGCTTTCCCCTTCGACCAGGCAAAGAGGAGTTTCAATGTATACTTTTGAATATATGTATATAAATATATATATAAATATGTATACTTACGAACTCTTTTTCCACGGCAGCTGCAGTTGTTGTTGCGCCATTATTACTACTCCCACTCCCGCTGGCCGCCTCGAACAGCGCCGTTGGATCTCCGCCTGAGGCGCGATATTTTTCAACATCGGAGAGCAACCGTTCCAGATACTCCACATAGAGCGTCTCCTGTTCGAGCTCCTTGCCCAGTTCTGCGATCTTGAGGCGATGCCGCTCAAGGGAAGCGCGTACATCCTGCTCCCAAGCATCGGAGAGCGAGCTCTGTGGGAATCGTTGCATCCACAGACGTTGGAAATCATCAAAGACGCTCATGACGATGACGCTTCCACTCCGCCTGCCCCTCTGTTGGGCTCCTTTTGTTGTTGTTGCTTCACTTCGTGTTGTTGGCGGCTTGGGCTGATGTTTGTGATGCTACTGCTTCTGTTGCTACTTCTGGCTCTTACTCAAAGATGATGATGTCGATGACCACGTTGATTATAATTTTAATTATGACAAAGAGGGCGAGGTTGGTTTTTATGTAACAAGCACCAGTTGTGCGTTGTCACCTTGGCTGCCTGCAAAATTACATTTGTACATGCATGTAAGTACATATGTATCTATGAGAGAATTAACGAGTATATTTGTGTGTGTTCGTGCTGTGTGTGTGTGTGCGTCACAGCCTCCCTTAGTCCCTTGAGTGTATCCTCGCGTGTGGGCAACAACAATATTTTCCCCCATTCTTTCCCTTCCTCACTTGGATGCAAATTATGCCAATTTCTTGGTATTAAAACCCCAACAAAATATTAATGACGTTTCTTTTTTTTAAGAAGTGCGGCTTAGAACCGGTTTTGTGCACTGGTCTACACTGCACTTGTATTAGTGTGTGGTCCCGATTGTTGTTGCCCTTTCGAATTCATTCGGATGCCATGTTGCTGCTTCTTCATGGTTTTTGTTTCTTTCTTACTTTTAGTCAAGGCCAAAAGTGATTTTGGTCCAGGATGCGATAATGGAGGCGCAGACGCAATGAATTTTGTATTTGAACTTTTCACATTTTAACTATCAAGACAGCAGAAACAACAAGACAGACAGAGAGAGTAGCCACCACACATGGATTTCTTGCTCTTCTTGCTACTCCACCTCCTCCCACTAAAGAAACAGTCAGTGGGCGTTGCAGCTGGGGCGCATCTTAATGGCGCCAGCAGCGCTGCTACTGCTGCCCTACCATACACAATCACACAAATGCACGCACGCACAAGCTTCACAAAGGTATCCTTATGGATAAGTAGAGGGGGGGAGGGAACTGTGATAAGGATTTGTCACAAAACTTGGAAAAAAAAACAACTATATTTCAATCTTTCGCGCACACTAACACATACAGAATACACCGATGCCGCTTCAGTGGAAAAGCAGAAATACAGACAACACATTTGCATATGTGCAATGTATTCTGTGCGACTGTTCTGGTATGTGTAAAACTCGGCTTTGGTTTTTTTTTAAACTCACGTTTCATTTTTTGCTTCACAATTTGCACTTAATCTTTATACAACGGATTTGGTTATTTTTTTCGGCACGCACATTTAATAATTTACTTTCACATTGAACATCACAAATATATTTGTATTGCATTCTCAATTGTATTCTTCAAAATGCAGACGTACAACTTTTTAGTTTAGATACCATGTTTGCCTAATCGCCGGAAAAACGTTGCGCGTCCGTACTATTAGTTATATTTTAATATTTATTATTTATTTAATAATAATCGCACCAGTATGAAAGCTCACTTGGAGCTCACTTTTGGACGAATAAATGAGACCGCACAATGGGTAAGTTGAACTTTTGATTGCGCCGCAAGGATAAAGGTATGAGGTGTGACGTATGACGTCACAAAATCCAGAGCTTTCAAGAAAAATACCACCTCACCACATAACTCACCATGCGGGATTTTGTTCTTTCGCGCAAACATGGTATATTTATTCCGTCGGGGCTAGGGTGAGGTCCTTACGAGGCCCTTAAAAAAAGTTTGGCCTTCTTAATACTGGGGCCATACCTTGTCATGACCCAGTCGAAAGAGAGCACTCAAAACGCTCTCCGGACTCATTTCTGCCGTTAAATTGTGAGCCACTATCGGCAGTATCGATATTTTGCTGCTAGCCTTTACTATCGATGGTTTTGAGACTATCATGATAGTATCAAGCTACAGACGTTGCGCTTTTGATAGTATTTGGATTGTCTGCTATAAAATAGGGTTGTAAAATATTTTAAAAATCATATCAATAATATTGTTTTTTTTTAAATATCAAAATGATATAAAAAATATCACTGAAAAAATATCGATATATTCGATATTTTGATATTTTTTTGCTTGTATGTATTTGCTGAAATCAGACCCTTGCAAACGTAAAATATCAAAAAATATCAATATATTGATATTTTGGCAAAAAAATATAACGATATAAATATTTTTTTTTTGAAAAAATATCGATATATCGATATTTTGATATATTTTTGACAACCCTACTATAAAATAGGAACACAAATTTGTAAACAATTCGACGGGTGGCATCTGATTTTTACAATGGACAAGTTCCTAAAAGGTTTTAATGGTTTCTTAATAATTATTTGAGCCCGATTGTTTTTTCAAAACATTCAACGTTGATATTCCTCGATTTTGATATTCCGTTTAATATTACTAGCTAGTTGGCCCTCTCAGCCCTAAACAAATAATTTTATCCTATAGATACATAAATTTTCTACAAGATTGGCAAGTTTTCAGAAGTCCTTTTTATACATTTATACATTATACATTTATCCAAGTTCTGATACCTATTATTGGAACCCGTGAGCTGCAAAATTTCATTAATATCTTTAAAACAGAGACTGTAAGTTTCTGCATTAATTGGAGCCTGAAATTACAAACAATATCTCAAGTCCATAATATCTATTTTCCCAAGGTATGCAGATTGTTGCTCATTCCGTGCCAAAGTTGCAGAACAATGCTGCCAATTCATTTCCATGCTGCTGGAATTTTTTCCAGCACCAACCAATGAAAAGGTTGAAATTTAGGTACAGTTTCAGTATTTATTGGCAAAATTATTTTCATATCAAGCCAATTAATTGAGGGAAAATGTCGCGTGCGTCAAAAATTGGCCCCAGATAGGATACCTTTTAGCCTGGAGAATGTCAACAGCTACAAGCTGGAAAGATTCGGAGAATTTCCTCCCTCCACGGACTATTTTTACTATTATTTTAAGCTACTACTTGCTTAACTTTTATATGTATTTGACATACAAGTGTTTGGTTAAAAAATGAACCAAATCAAGCCCATTCTAGCGTTCCTGTTTTTAAAAAACTTTATTTTTGTGATCAGAGAAAGTTAGGCATTGAAGTGGGATCTTGTTAAATTTGAGAATCGTACATTTATATTTTTCTTGGGAACCCGCCAGATTCATTTGGCCATATAAATCCCCGCCAGACCCACGAAATTGGGCCTCCACTTAGCCGACGGCCTATCATCAATAATAAATATTTTCTTTTTGTACCCAAAAAATACTTTTCGATATAAAATCCGTTAAAAAAGTAACGGTTTACCTTACGCGTTTTCAACTTTCAACCAATCAAATCGTTCGAAATTTTCTGTAAGCATTTGGGGTAGTTTTCTAGGCAAAGTTCAAAAAAATGTTCGCGCGACCATGAAACAAGAAAATAGTGCCGAATATTGTTCTTCACAAGTCCGCTGAGTACCAAAAAAAATATCCATTGATAATTTTTTAAATCATATCATTAATAATAACGATGAAGGAGACTCATTGTTGCTACGGTTCCCGTAAGATACATGTGGCTCACACCACGAAAAGGAGGGGACAGTCACCACGAAAACGCTCTCTTCACCTCGGAAAAGAGAGCAAATTTTGAAATTTTTTTGTGCGCTAAATGAGTTTGGCGGTCAGTTTCAAAGGTATTTCACTGAATTTGTTTTGTCGAGTGTGATTTGAACCTCAGAAACGTCATTTTCAAAATATGCCGTAAATATACCGAGAAAAAAAAACGAACTTAAAGCCCAGGACTCAGACGCGCTAAATTTTCCGTCGACCGAAGGTGCTATATGTATATAGATTCAAAAAAAGTTTTGCTAGCAAAACGTGCCATATATTTTTCTAGCCGCGGATTGTAAATAATAAAACTTAATAAAATTAATATATTATAATTTCCATATAATTCTCCTTCATATAGCTGCCTTAATTAGATACTATTTATCTTCATTATTAATTATTTAATATGTTGTTTGTTCTCAACTTTTGTAATGCTTACGTTTCTATTTTCTAGGTCCCTATCGTTCTATATTTATACCATCGCCTGCTTGTCTAGTATTAATCGTAATTTTTCTTGTTTGTACCGAGTACTACCTGCCGTACAGACCCTAACGAAAACATTTTGCTAGGCGAAATTTGTTATCGGTTTCATACGAATATCATCCCTGTTTTTGCTCGCGTACAAATTTTCCTGATCTATATACTGGACTAATGCTTGAAGTGAATGGTGCAAGATGTAGGCAAAAACTGTCCGCAAAACCAAAGAGAGAGATGAAAATTATACTTTTTTGTTTTGCAACAATATATGTCGTCACCAACACAATCACTTCATCATCAGAGTGCATTTTTTTCCTTTTTTAATTTTAGCAGAATTTTACAGTTGCCTCTGTTTACAAAACACATCAACCCTGCTTTATCTATGTTCCACACCCTCAGGGAATAACCAGCAAATTCCTTGCCGCAATTTTCAGCGGTGCTGGAGACAGGCCTTAAATGAAAAAAAAACTTAAAATTTTTGGCTGCTGGACTGAACGCGAATGTGCACTAAATTCTACTACACATTTGCTACATGGCAACTACAAATAAATGTTATTATCAACAGAGACACTGACGACAGAGAAGCATTTCGATAGCAGTACCGATAGGCTGCCCACTGTCTCCATTCAGAGAGCGCTGCCAAATGAGCGCGGGAACTATTTGACTATTTAAAATCATGGATACTTTAACTATTAAACAAAGATAAGGCGACAAATGCATGGCAATTATTTACCATCCCGCAATCGGACTTTGACCGCAAGAAGTCCGGCAGAGCTAATATCATTATCAACTCCGAATTTCCCTGTTAATGAATAATAAAATAATTAATTTTTCTGTTCGCCAAGCGACTATTTATAGCCACTACCCCACCACCCCTCCCAATCAATTTCTATATCCAACTATGCAGATATCCTCTAGAGCATTCCACTTCTGTCTCTACATGAGCCCCACATGTCTGCAGATCGACTTTAGAAAGGCCTTATCAGCCTCACCCTCCAGATAACATATACATATATTCTTATAATTAAGGCTCTTTCGCATTGGACTACACAACTTCTTGTCGGCTTACGCCTTTGGTCTGCGACGGCACTTAGTCAGCGCTCCAAAAACATCGTAATCTTTCCTCCGCGCATGACGTATCCCAGAAATCATGGCCTCTACCATGCTATGGATATGAAAATGGATGGGAATGGATATGGATATGGCTTTGGCTTCTTGTCTTATCGGTGGTCAATATGAGATAGTCAATTATCCGGCGGGATATAAAAAGCACACGGCTCAACCCGATAGCCATTCACATAGCTCGCTAAATCCGTGGTCGGTTAGCCTCCGCAAGGCCGCAATATTCGTTTTTTTACAACTTAAATTTAAGGTCTACTTCCTAAGGATAAACACAAACAGAATGTGGTAAGTATTGGATTAAGAATACCGTACTTCAAAAAGACAGTTGAAGAGAGAACCGAAACCTGAAGAAACTTCCTTCAAATGAAAAAGGATAAAACCTTAGCCGAGAGCTAATTATGGTACATACACAGAAGTACTATAACTAAAGAAAAGTTCCATATTATTTGGAAGCTTTGATTGTTTGCCCTTTTGGATTGAAAGACACTATCTTCAGAAAAAGTAAATTATTGTTAGAGAAGGGTAATTGCAATGCAACGTGATCTCAATCTATTGTAGCCCCGTCTGACCCTCCTACTTCTCCTACTTCAATCCAACTTCCTGCACAGAGACAACATTACATCCTTTCTCAGAATTGCAGTCTGCGCGTCCGCTAGATTTCAGAATACATATATTGGTACCTTTGCCAATAACATTATTGAGATTATTTTAACGCTAAGTGTCATAAGTTTTAAATGGGCTAACATTTCATTATTTTATCCCTGTAACAAGTGTAATCATGCTTGTCTTAGTGTTCCGTCTTATGCCACATTTCCATTCTGGTTCTACCAGTAGTTTCGCTGTAAATTCATCACCTGCTTCATTCCGAGCCAAATATGTACATACATACATACATGCATAAGTATGTACATTGTACATAAATATGTCCGATCGCAGCACCCAATCAGTCCAGAGTCAACGATAATACCTGACTGCAATGCGATATTTGGAGCTGGTTGAAGCCTTCGATGACATATTAGTCGGGTATGGGTGAGCGGGAGGGAGGGACAGAGTAAAGAGATGGCAAGTGTTGGCACTATCCCCCAGTTGAAACCCCCCCATCGTTCCGTCTCCGGCAGCACTAACCGATCCTCCCAATTCCGTCTTCCCCCTGTCAGCTTCTGCATGAAATACGCCGTCTGCTGGATCGTGCTGGTGGTGGCCGCGGTGGGTGTCACCCTGGGCCTGGTGTTCGGCCTGCGCGGACGCACCGAGGAGCCGCGCCGCATGGGCGCCGTCGCCTCCAACGGCGTGGGCTGTGCCGAGGTGGGCGGTAACATACTGGACATCGGTGGCTCAGCAGCGGACGCGGCCATTGCAACGATGCTGTGCGAGGGCGTTATGCTGCCTCACAGCCTGGGCGTGGGCGGCGGCTTCGTTGCCACCATCTACTCCAAAGAGACGGGCTTCATTGAGACGCTGATTGCGCGCGAGACGGCCCCGGCGGCGGCCACCCAGGACATGTTCGTGGACAAGGAGATCACCGGCGCGCTCTCCTGTGCCGTGCCCAGCGAGATCTACGGTTACTGGAAGCTGCACGACAAGTACGGGAAGCTTCCCTGGGACAAGCTCTTCCAGCCCACCATTGACATCTGCCGGAGCGGCATCAAGGTGTCGCGCTATTTGGCCGGCGTGCTAGAGCGGGAGGAGGAGCGTATCCGCAGCGAGCCCTCCATGGCGGAGATCTTCATCAACCCGAAGACGGACACTATCTACAAGCAGGACGAGGTCATGTACCGTCATATGCTGGCTGAGTCGCTCGAAATAATCGCCCATGAGGGTCCCGGGGTCATCTACCGGGGCGGCCGGGTCGGAGCGAAGCTGGTCGAAGACATCCAATCGATGGGCGGCATCGTCACCGAGGAGGATCTCCAGAACTACGAGTGAGTTCAACGTCTCTCCATTTTTGATCACATTTCCCAGTTCCCAGTTCCCAAATCCCTGGTGGATCAGATCCCAAAATATGAATCTCACAGATCCACAATAGATATTTCAGACTTCTGACCATTCTCATGGATCATCGATCGATATGGCTGATATTTCTGATGCATCACCCACATCGATATACCGATCGATCGCCTAGATCTATGGTCAATAATACAGATATCTCTATTCCAATCCAGCTCCCAGGTTCCTATTCCATCACCGACACTCTGACGCATTTCGCAGATCCATTATCCATCTGCCAGATCCTTCCCGATCCTTACTGACCTCTACCGATATTTTCCAGAGTCCGTTGGGAATTGCCACTGCATGCCCGCTTCACGGGTGGATACGAGCTATATACCTCACCCCTGCCCACCAGTGGGGCGGTGCTCACATTCATACTGAACGTGATGGAGCCGCTGTACACAAGCAACACAGAGAAATACTGGCAACGGCTGGTGGAGACCTTCAAACACGCCTACGGACACCGCACCAACCTCGGAGACATCCACTACGAGCCGGAGGTGCAGGAAGTCTACGAGAACCTCATCGATCCCTCCTTCGCTGCGCAGATACGCGAACTGATCCTCGACGATCGCACCTTCACCAACATGTCCTACTACGGAGCCAACTTCACCAACGTCCCGGACCACGGCACGGCCCACATTTCGGTGCTCGCCCCCAACGGTGATGCCATCTCCGTGACCAGCACCATAACAGCCACCTGGGCGCCAAGGTGCGGTCCCGCCAGACTGGTTTCATTCTCAACGACCAGATGGACGACTTCTCTACGCCCGGCCGCATCAATATTTACGGGATTCCTGCCAGCCCGGCCAATTACATCAAGCCCGGCAAGCGGCCCATCTCCTCCACCTGCCCCAGCATTGTACTGGATTCACAGGGCAATGTGAAGTTGCTGGTAGGCGGCGCCGGCGGCTCCAAGATCACCACCTCGGTGGCCCAGACCATCCTCCGCTACTTTGTCCTCCATGAGCCCATTGAGCGGGCCGTCAACGCCGGCCGCCTTCACCACCAGCTGGACCCCATGTACATCGAGGTCGAGCCGGACGTGCCCCGGCACACGGTCGCATATCTCCGTCGCATCGGTCACGAGGTCAAGTACTTGGACGGTGACAAGGCCTACTCCGCCCAGACAGCCATCGGCCTCATGGACTCCGAGCCCCATCCCGTGTGCGATCGCCGTCGGGTGGGCAGCGCCGTGGTTGTGGAGCCCTCGCTGCCCTAAGCCGGAACTTCTTTGGCAGACATCTCTATCCATCACCATTGTGGGTATAGTTGGAACCAAAAACTATTGTCGGAAGAAGAGACATTCTACATTCATCAATCTATTAAAATCTTCTGTCGTCCTTTGACGTTTAAATTAATTTTATAGCCGATCTTTATTCGAGAGGGGGGGTGGAATGATGATCCGTACCTTGGAATAGTGAAGAGGATAGGATTTTCTCGTAGTTGAAGGCTCCCTCCCCATGAGAGTGATAACTCTCTTGGAACTGTTTTCAATACGTTTACTCGGCGGTGCTCAATAAGTACGAAGGATGTAAGTGCCGGCCCTATTCCGACCCGATAAATATTAAAGATACTCTCGGAACTCTCTGACGGAGTGAGGGAGATACAACGCATGGTACTGGTATGTGGTATGTGGTATGGTACATATGTATGTGGAAATAGAGAGAGAGAGAGAGAGAGATATTCATCTCAGGAAAAGACGAAAATTAGCATTTCCGTGTGATGATTTTCTATCATATTTAATGTGGGTATTCGATGTTGTGCGCCGAATGAATTAGCAAGATCGGCACGTCACATACCGTAAGATTGAGGCATTCTTGGGCATTCAAATGTGGGCAAAGGTACATGCATACTACACAATTTAAAAATATGCCAAAATGTGGCTCTAAAAATAAAATATAAAAACAATCGTGGTGCTTCAAAAGCTTTGTAGAAAATCTAAGCAGGCATCATGGATATATGGATATGAGCCAGAAACCAAACTTTAATCGACGGTATTGACGCACCGAATCATTTCATACTGTTCAACTGGTCGCGGTCAGGTTGATAGATAAAAGTACGAAGATCAATTCCGAGTGGTAAACAGCCATTTTTTGGCCTGAAGCTTTTGGAGAATTAAGGAAAACCAACCTCCAAATATGGACTGTACTCTGCGACAATCCGACACACATCGCTCCACTGAAAAGATTTTTTGAGCACCCAAAACTTCGGATCAAGGTTTCATCTGCCTTTCAGACATGTCTTCACATCTTTTTTTTCTAGCCATCGAAAAAATAGTGCTCAACGCCAAAAAACGTATCAAAATTGGTTCATGGAGAATATTTTTAAAAGCAATAAAGGCAAGACTTGCTCATCCAGTACATGTAGCAGCAAAGCAGCAGCCGGACACTTGATAATCGGGGGACAGTTACCCGGACTTATGTGATGAAGTAAAGTTTCAAAGGTTTCTCGAGTGGTTTCAAAAACAAATTTATATAGGACACACATGTTAGTATGCAGTACTGATGCAATACATACATACAAATGTATGTAAATCCGTATGCATCCGTATTTAGGTATATATGTACATATGTATAGTGTAGAAGTATGTATGTATGTACATCGCCGTTATATAGATATACATATGTACATATGTGTAAAATATGTATGTAAATGTATTTGTAAATTGATACGTTCATATAGACATATGCATGTATATGAAATGCTTACGTACTAAACTAGTGCACACAAATATTTTAAAAATGTAGGTATTAAAACTCAATTATAGACACAACTCAATTGTAACAGGAACAGCAACAGGTTCAGCATTGATCGGTCGTGATTGGCATTGTCTCGCAAGAATTAGGAATTTTACGCCAAATAAACTTCAGTGTGGCAAAAACGGGGAAACCTTAGTGAAGAACTGTGGTGGGGTTCAAGCTGATACTGGCTGAACATTACCCAGGAAAAAATCGTCCTTTGTGTACGATGAGCAGCACTTTGGTGAAGTGCGGAGTACTAGAAGTCCGGACATGTAGATATTTGAATAAAAAAAACCAGCCCATGGGCACATAGACACATAGGCACATAGATGTCTATAATATTGAGATTTGAGCGAATGTTGGGCGTTGGTTTTGTTTAGTCATCGATGCGGGTGGCCTTTCGTCTGGCAATTTTTCGCTTCTTGTGAATCGCCTCCATGCGCATGTCTTCCAAGTCCTCTTGCATACCTATCATTACAACAAAGGATTAGACACATAGGGGAGGACCGGGGAAAGGTCCAAACTCACCCATTTTCCCACTGAGGAACTCCTCACGCTGCATCTGAGCAAAGCTCGACTCCATCTCGCTATCGTCATCGTCGAGGTCGCGATATCGCCGCTTGTCATAGCCAAAGATGTCGCGGATGTGCGAGGATATGTCTTCTTCGCAGTCTCCATCATCGATAAAGTCATCCAACTCGGAATCGTAATCGTCATCCTCATCGTCCATGCGTCCTAAGTGGAGAGGGGTGAAGATGATTATTTCGCCTCATTTGACGGATCGATTCAGCTCGGAACATACTTTTGGTGGGCGACTTCTCTTGGAGTTTGCCACGACCAGGCGGCATAGCCCTGCTGCCCGATTTCTGCACATCCGCTGGGGGGAATTGGCGCGTCTTTGCCGGAGAAGCTCCGGCTGGACGATCTCGGGGTGGGAATTCCCGCGCTGGTCCATTTCTGCCGGCTGCTCCATAAGGAATCCTTATTGGAACGAGCCTTGCACTGGCGACGGGGCCACGCACGGCGCTGGGTCCGCGGGCGGGACTGGGTCCGGAGCTGGTACTGGGCATTGGTTTGACTGGCAACGGCTTGGTCGCTGTGGCGGGAAGACGACTTCTGTCAGGTTTTGTGAAAGAATTATGGGCAGATGCAGGGAGCCGGCTGGAGCTGGTGGCTGACGATGGGGGCGGAGCCGGTCGTGGGGCCGGACGCTTGAAGACATTATCACTGGTCGGCTTTGCTTTGGATTCGTTTAATGAAGGCGTGGAGTGTTTGGGTGGGACTGAAGGGCAGCCGGAACTGGAGCTTGAACTAGAACTGGATGCGAAACTGCTGAGCTTGGGTATGCGTCCGCTGGCTTCCATGCGACTGCCGCCATTTTTGTGCTGATCCTTGGCCTTTAGTTCGCTCTCGCGCACGCGATCCCTTTCGGCACGCTGCTCCCTCTGTCGTTGACGCTCTTCCATCTCGCGCTTCTCGCGAGCAGACAAAAGACGCTCCGGCTCCTTCTTCTTCTCGGGCTGGGCGTAGACCACCGGCTCGTGCTGCGTTTTCGCCGCCAGACGTAAGACCGCCTGAAAGTCCATAGGCGGAGGGCGCTTGACTTTGGCTCGGCTCCTTTCCGCCTCGCGCTTCTTACGCTCCTCCTCGAGTCTCTCCGCCTCCGGATTATAGACGGCCATATCCCTACACGTACTGTAGGCTCGGGCCACGTGAGCCTCCCGGGACTTGCTTTTTGAGGCGGAAGCCGTAGTAGAAGCGCCAGATGATCTTGTATCGGATGACGATCGCTGCCGTGTGTGGGACATGGCCTCCTGTCGCTCACGGGTGATGGCTGCCTTGACACGCTCCTTGGTGCCGGAGAGATCTTGTACAGACTGAGGACGGCTGGGGGCGAATCCCTTATCCTCATGGACATCGCGCACCTTCTCAATGTACTTCTGATAGAAGGCATTCGACTCGGTCGACACATAGCCGTAGTCATCGCCTTCGCCCTCACCCTGTTCGCCACCGTTCTGGCCGGCAGTATCACCGTCTTTGGCATCCTCGAGAACCGACTTGTTCGCCGACTTAGTGACTTTTAGCATCTTTCGTATCTTGTTCTTGGATTTCTCGTCGCGCTTGGCTAGCAGCTCGTTGAGTTTCTGGCGTTCCTCCCGCTTGCGCTCCTGTTCCTCGGCCTCGCGCCTCTTCAGGAACTTCTGGATGTTGCTCGACAACTCCTTGCCCGCCTTGCTCTCCTTCTTGGGCGGTGCATACTTGGTGCTGTAGTACTTGCCCTGCAAAGCACAATATTAAGATTGAGAAAGTATGCTAATTGGGGTCACTGATCGCCAGTCGGAATGGACCTGGAGCGGACTTTTGTTTCCGATTTTCTTATGAATCGCATGCAAATGCATGTGTATACATGCACAAAGGTGGGTGGTAATTGGGAAGAGTGGCCAGGTGGAAGGGGGTGGGGGATGGTCACTGGTCACGAAAATATTGCAAATGCATCAAGTAAATCAACAGAGACACGAGATGACCCCAAAAAAACAGAAACCCAACCAGAACCCACCTCATCTTTTGTGGCTGCGTCGGTTTTCTTTTTGGCCAAATGCAACAGCTCACCGAAATCCATGTTTAGAACTCTGCTGGGTGTCGCTCCAGGGCTCCCTTCGTTTCTTATTTAAAAATCGCGTTGCCTGCTGCTCCGAAGGGAAAGGAAACGTAACTTGTTGGTCGAAAAATATCTCCAGATGAATTATCGTGCCCCCCTGTCAAACATTCGAGGGCACCTTTTCGCGAAGGTTTTGCGACTATCATGATAGTATCGAGCTACAGTCGTTGCGCTTTTGATATGCTTGGATTGGCTGCTATAAAATACGAAGACAAATTTGTAAAAAAATCGACAGGTGGCATCTAATTTTTACAATGGACAAATTCCTAAAAGGTTTCAATGGTTTTTTAATAATTATTTCAGCCCGATACTATCACGATAGTATCGATTGTTTTTTCAAAACATTCGACGTTGATATTCCACGATATTGATATTCCGTTTAATATTACCAGCTAGCTGGGACTCTCAGCCCTAAACAAATAATTTTATCCGATAGATACATACATTTTTTAAGAGATTGGCAAGTTTTCAGAAGTCTTTTTTATTGGATTATTTACATATTAAGGTTCAAACAAAAACAGCATAAAACGAATTTGTCGTTTTTTTGTGGCGTTGCCAGACTCGTGCAATTCGTAGTTGCTGCGGGCTGCCATACCGTGATATTTTGTGATATGAAATTCGATTTTGATATTCAGTTTAATATTACTAGATAGTTGGCCCTCTCAGCCGTAAACAAATAATTTTATCCGATAGATACATAAATTTTGTTCAGGATTGGTTAGTTTTTAGAACTCTTTTTCATTGGATTGTTTACATATTAAGGTGCAAGCAAAAACGGCCAAAGCATAAAACTTAAATGTTGACTAAATGTTACGTCAGTGTTGCCGGTCAACCAAGTATCTTCTATGCGTATGTACTTTTGTATACCTTATTTCTTTTAATTGGTGTTAAATGTTTTGTTCCAAGCTCCATTGAAACATTATTTATGATTTTATCCTAGATTAAAGAATTTATTTCTGGGGATTTTTTTGTTATTAGCGAATATTGCACAAGATGGCAGCACTGTGCAGTCAAGAGCCACTCTGCGGCATTACCCAACACTGCCGCATTAAACTACTCTAAACTAATTTTGTTGATAACGAAACTAGAGGCTGAATTCATAGCATAGCTGATCGGCCAGCAAGCAGCCATGTCTATAGATCCCAACCCGATCCCAGAGCAGTGCAGCAATTGCGGAAAGGCGAGCACAAAGGAACAGCCCTGCCAATCTTCGGATACCGCCACCAACGCTGGCTGCGGCGATGCTGAAACACTGTGCGGGGACTGTGCGTCTGCAAAAGAAGGGATTAATAAAGGAAAACCACTCAAATTAGAAACAATTGAAAAAAGTGTTCTGATGAACGTAAACGTAGATGCACCCACGGCCGAACCAGTGCCAACAACAGAAGAGCCGGACAACCCACCGCCACCAGGACCAAGCCAGCCAGAGGAAAGCCCGAAGCGGCCCACGACGTTCGCCAAAGCTGCGGAACCAGACGCCAAACCACAAAGGAAGCCAGTCAGCTGCCATGACCCTCCTACCAAAAATGTTGTGAAGCAAGCCGATGCCCCCCCAGCAAAAGTATCGAGCGCCAAAGGCATGCCAGCCGAGACCGACGGAAAAGAGAAGAGCAAGGAGGAGGTTGTGCAAGCCTTGCCAGAGGCCACACTTTCCAGACCCACGAAACGCGGAGGAAAGATCACGAGGAGCAGCATCAATGGAACGCCATCAATGGCAACCACTCCCGGAAATCAGACGCCCACAATAATGAAGCGCCTGCGCAAGAGTACGCGGGCCACTCGCTTTAAGGCGAAGCTGACGGGACGCTCGGGCGTTGGAGGGAATGGCGGACAGGCCAATGGGTACAATGGCAGCCCCAACGGACCTGGTTCCACATCTCATCCGTTCGGAACCGGATCGCATACGGGTAACACCAAGGCGCATGGCAAGACTGGCGCGGGTAGCGCCGGCGGCACACAAGGAGCCAGAAATAGGCGAGCAATCTTCAAGCGCCCGGTCCAGAAGACGCCCAAGGTGCAGGCTTGCACCAAGTTCGTGAAAAGTGTGTTCTACAAGGGCAGCTACATGCAGATCGGTGATATCGTGAGCATTGTCGACGGCCAACAAAAGCTGTACTACGCCCAGATCCGCGGTCTGCTGGTCGACGCCTACTGCGAGAAGTCGGCCTTCCTCACCTGGCTAATACCCACTCAGGACAGTCCCGATCCACAGGACTGTTTCGATCCGGCCACCTACCTAATCGGTAAGCACACCTCCAGATCCTGCTATAGCCTTTCTCACGTTCTTATCTCTTCCAGGGCCCGACGAGGAACTCTCGCGCAAACTCTGCTTCCTGGAGTTTGTGATGCATGCACCGAGTAACTACTACTACGACCGCAGCACGCCGTTCCCCCTGCCGGACATCGACGAGTACACAGGACAGCGGTCTGGTGGCTATATTTGGACGCGGCTGCCAGTCGTCAAGCGGGACCGGAACGATAACCGTGCTCGGGAACCGGGAAACAAGAGTGCTGCCTCCTAGCAGGGCCGCCAAAAGCAAAAGCGGCAAACGACCAAGAAGAAAAAGAAAAAAGCGGCTGCCCAACAAAAGGGCGGTTAAAAATGCGGAACGGAACCTAAATGCAAAATTTTTATAATCTAATTTATTGAGAGAAATATATCTACAAATCTGTGTAATATTCATTGATAATCATCTGTAGTCGGAACAAAGTAGGAAAGGAGTCGCACCATAAATTTTTTGATGGGGTGGTCCAGACCTGATAGATTCCTAATACATATCATCGTTTTGAAGTTTTAAAGCCTTCAAAGAATTTTCTGATTTACTTTTAAAATGCAATAATTGGTGCTGGCATTCTCTCAAAAGCAGGAAAATATTTCTCACTGAAAGAAAATAAACGTACTCTTCGTTTTTTCTCTTTTCGGGCAAAATATAGAAATATTCTATCTTTTGTCGACAAAAAGACGCACACATTAAAAATAAGGAAGGAAATAAGCCAAAAAATCTGCTAGAAAAGTGCAATAATGAAGACAAATTTAATCTAATTAAGACAGTCGGCTGAATACCGATTATATGGATATTATTATTTATTAATTTTATACCAGGTCCTCACTTTATGAATTTATAAGGAGATAAAAAATACTTTTATTGGATTTGTCTAATAATGCAGTGCTTGCTCTTTGCATTGTCGCCTTTCAGCTCCACAGCGTCCACAAATAATACAGTTTTGCTTGTGTTATGTATCGATATTCCTAAAATTACCTAAGGAACTAGCTAGTAATATTCAACTGAATATCAAAATCATGGAATACGATTTCAATCAATAAAATATAAAGTTATTCCATTGTCGACCAGGGGGGTATTTAATATTTCCACGAAATTTATGTAACCTTAACATATTTTACGCATTACAGGTGAAATATGTCGGTGGTCATTTTGTTTTCTAAGCATCCTCCGAGCTACAAGGAGCCTTTACAAACAGTATTATTTTCTGCGGTTTAAGAAAGGGTGCTCAACTTTTTAAATAGAGGGGTGTTAAGTGGGTTAAGTCTCGTTTGATCGCCGGATTGCCCTGGTTTTTTTATGGTATGGTATTTAAATGGTATTTCTCGAAACTGAAACGGTATTTAATAGTATTTATTTGTTGGCCGGATGGTATTTTTGATCGTTGAGCCATCGATAGTTTTGAATGTCTTGAAAAAACAATCGATACTATCGTGATAGTATCGGTCTCAAATAATTAATAAAAAACCATTGAAACCTTTTAGGAACTTGTCCATTGTAAAAATTAGATGCCACCTGTCGATTTGTTTACAAATGTGTCTTCGTATTTTATAGCAGCCAAGCCAAACATATCAAAAGCGCAACGACTGTAGCTCGATACTATCATGATAGTCGCAAAACCGTCGGTAGTAGAGGCTAGCAGTAAAATATCGATACTATCGATAGTGCCCTCGATGGTTTGACACCTCTACTGCCGAGTACTAGCAATTTCTGCATTTTTACGTTTGCAAATAAATGGATAGAAATATGGAGGTTGACGAGGAAGAGTGTGAGGTGCCATCCAGCAGTAGCAAGGGCGAAAAGAAGCGCTTCGAGGTCAAGAAAGTAAGTTTATAAATGCAGCCACAAAATTTTGCACGCACAACATTTTCTGGCGGTCACTTGCGCACACCGCTGCATATGTGAATCAGTGTGCGTGTGGTGTGTGTATGTTTGCATGTTGTGACGCGTTTCACGCTGAATTTATTAACTGTCGAACACAACTAATTTTCGTATTTTCCTTTTGTGTTCCTGCTGCCCCTTCTCTTCTACTCTGGAATCAGTGGAACGCCGTGGCTCTGTGGGCTTGGGGTGAGTAAAACAGTCGCTATATAGAGAGAGACTCTGAAAATCTCTTTGTCTGCCGGTAACAGAAGGCCATCGTTTCATCAGTGAAATTCGGATCATAAATACTACTAAATTACTCGCTGCATGAAAACCATTAACAATTTCGTGCATTCGCAGATATCGTTGTCGACAATTGCGCCATTTGCCGCAACCACATCATGGACTTGTGCATCGAGTGCCAGGCTAACCAGGCCTCTGCCACAAGCGAGGAATGCACCGTGGCCTGGGGCGTTTGTAATCACGCCTTCCACTTCCATTGCATCTCGCGTTGGCTGAAGACCCGTCAGGTGTGCCCCCTGGACAATCGCGAGTGGGACTTCCAGAAGTACGGTCACTAGGCTGTACTATCGTGTCTCCTTCCCCATAAAACACCACACCGTTCTGCTTCTCTCAAAAAGGACATACAACAAACCCCCATTATCCTTGTGTACACACCACCATAGCCACGATGCATCTAGATCTTGGGGCACTTACCAAACAGCCTCAGGATATTGGAGGACACACCACACTTCCTCACGCATCATCGGAAACACATTACGGCGCCACGGGTTCAGTAAACTCTTAGATGTAAGCCTCGTTTCACGAAAAAATACTTTTACCGAAATAAAAAGAATGGCCTGATTTGCGTACATACATTTGTTTGGCTGAATCTTGAATAGAGACGGGTGAAATATGGGAATGGTAATATATCCTATAGAGGGTGCAAGTCAGATACCAACTTTAGTATTAGAAAATAGCTCGCAAAACAAAGAAATGAATCCTTAGCTAGATATTTGTACCTAAATCCACAAGGGAGAAGAATAGCCATCAAATGGGACAAAAAAAATAGATACATAAAATAATGATTTGCGCAAATTGCTTTGTTTTTGATGTAATTGAACGATATATGGGTGGATGTACATATGAGGAACTATGCATGGATGTAGGGTTGTCTGTGTAAAGGAGAACACCGAAAAAGTAAAAAAACAGCAACATGCATTTGTAAAAACTAAATTTTCTCTTTTAGTTTATTGTGAATGTGGGCTGTGGCGCCACTCTTGCTAAATTGTTTGTGTCTTACAAAATAATACACAGTAGTTTCACATATGAATAAAGTATATAATATAGATATATGCATATCAAATATGATTAATGTATAATTAATATGTAATATGCTACAAATCAACTTATCCGTAAAGAGAAAAAAATTAGATTATTGTTAAAAAAATCATAGTCATACCTATTCATGTATGCAGATGTATGTACGTATTCGTATCGTACAAAATTAATATAAAACAAAACTGAATTGGGCAAGCCAAATACATTTTGTGGTTTTTTATGTGGTATTTGCGTGGCGTTATATGTAGGGTGTGTGGATTGTCTCCATGTTGCTGCGGTTCCAGTTCCCGATGAAACACAATCAAATCAACTCTGAACTGAAGAGGGGAACAACACAAAAGTCACTACGAAAATTGATAAATGTGAGGGGGAGTTCTTATTCTGAAGATGATCGTTCGGATATGCGGATTAGTGTGCGCCCCATCCATCCATCCACCCATGAACATACATAAGTATGTGTATGTATGAATATATGGTTAACAAAAAAATGATTACAAAGTGCATTTACGGGTAACATGGTTTAAATAAATCTTCTTTACATACAAGATATTATTCGGAAGGAGAGGGTCCTAAAACAAAAATTTCCAGTTGCCAGTGGAACCATTGCTCATTTTTTGTTTCGATTTTCCAGAGTTTTATTTGTATTTTTCATTGTTATTTTTGAAAGTTGATTTCTCGTTTCTTTTTAGATTCGGTTTTGTTCTTCTTTATATTTTTAATCTGTTATTTATATACAATTAATTTGTTTTGTTTTTTTTTTGTGTGAAATTCTGGTACGCTATGTTTTTGCTTTATGTATATTTAATTATCGCGTCTAGTATATATATAAATTATTCAGTTTTTAATATTGCTGTTGCTGTTTCAGTGGCTGATGCTGCGCTATTGTTGCTGTTATTGTTGGGTTGGCTTTTGTGGGACTTTCTAATAACTACACATGGAGATGTACATACACATATTCTGTATATTTGCAATGCATGTATATCTTGCATATACCTATATATATATATATACATATATAAATACATATATATGTATGTATATATAATTTTTATAAAGTTAACGTTAGTTGTAAGGCGTATATACCGCTGCTAATTGCGTTGTGTCTGTGTGCATTGCATTTAGAATATTGTTTGTTTTCTGATTTGTATGTTTGCTGCTTCCTGCGTCATCGTCCTTCTCGTCCTTGTAGCCCAAGGGAATGGGGCTTCCCCTTTGTAATTGTAAAATGTTACCCGTCGAGCTAGAAGTGAGAATCACCGTTCTCACTCCTCTGCTATCTGTTGTTGCTGCTTGCTGTTTCACGGCTTGGCTGAGCAGATCTCCTGCCATCTTTGCCCCACGGCGTCCTCTGGCTCAACTGTACATGATTTGTATGCGATTCAGTTCGATTCTCAGTTTCTTAACAATTAAATTGTTGCTGTTGCTGGTGTTCCTTTTGCTGTGAGGGCTGTTACTGTTGATGTTGATGTTGCAGTTGTTGTTGCTGTCGTTATTTGTGGCGCTATTCTGCTGCATTTTTTCGGCATCTCTTCTCCTACTTTTATGCTTTAAACTTTCATCTGTAAAGGCAAAAGGAAAAAGAAAAGCACACACACACAACACATACACATGCACGGGCACGCACACGTAACCAAACAGAGCAACACGGGGGGATGGGATCCACGGGTTTGAGGGAGAGACAGACAAAGAGAGAGAGAGAAAGAGTGGGAGAGATAAAGAGAGAACGAGAAATAGAAGAAAGCAAAAAAAGTAAGTTATAATCAAATAGTTCACTTGATTTTCATTTTTTCTTTTCTTTTGTCTCTGTGTGTCTCTAAAATCAGATTTTGATACAATTTCTTGTGTTCTTTTGCTTCACTTGATTCTCGTTTTGTTTTTGCTTCTCACGGATCCAGGACAGGGACCAGGACCTGGGACTCGGCATCGGGACCCTAAACGCGGGAATTCGGAACGCGGGAGTCATGGCCTGGCACCAGGACCAGGACCAGGACTAAAGCAACGGGGATTGGGTCCTACACGAAAAATGAGGGTTAAACTGAATATGATGCTGATGCGGCGTAGGGGAAAGATGCATGGACACCGGGGTGGGTGGGGGTTGGAGTAAAGGGTACTGAATCTCTTCTAAGGCTAATGGCTAAAACTGATGTGCGACTGTAGGGGCTCGATCGGTTTGTGGTCGGGTTAGGTTAAGGCAGTTCAGCAGCAGAGGCAACTACGACGCAGGCAGCATGAAAATTCTCCTTATTCTTATCCATCTCATTCCTCCTCCTCCTCTTTATATTCATTTTCCTCCGTTTCTGCCCGTGCTTCTTTTTCTGGGCAATTTCAGCGGACATTAGTCAAGTTACTTGGAGATCAGTCGTTCGTTATTGCTGGATATGATGGTTATGATGTGGATTCTGGTGCTGTTGGTTATGATGATGGTGGTTATGCACAGGCGGCGAGCAGGAGGCGGACGTTGACGTGGCCACACTGGTCTTTGCCTGTGGATGATGCTGCTGCAGCGAGGGCGGCGGCGGCTGCTGGAGATTGGCAAAGCTTGTGGGGGGCAGAAGGGCGCAGGTTCCGAAGGTGTGCTTGGGAATGATCAGCGATTGTGGCAAGAATCCGTGTCCTGCTCCTCCCCCACTTCCGCCGCTGCTGCTGCTAACAATAGCCTGCCCCTGGCCCGGGCTGGAAGTCATCTGCTTCGTGGCCCCGTATTTTCCAAGCATCGTTGTGCCGCCGCTCTGATAGTAATTGATGTAGGATGCTTCCTCCCCTGGCCCGGATCCTGCTCCTCCACGCCGCTTGCCGTTGGGGAAGTAGTGGTTGTTGGTAGTGGAGGTACAGGCCGAATAGAAGGAGCCGCAGGTCGATGAAGTCGGGGACGAGGGTTTTTGGGCTGATGCCACCAGCGTGGCCGAGTCAATGTCCTCTGTTTGCACATTGCCCGTTCCCGAGAATGTGGAGATAGATGGCCCGTCGGCGCTACTGTTGTTGCTAGTCGTCGTTTGGGAGGAGGTGTTGACCGTCATGCTGGTGCCGCTGCTGGCGTACGAGGCATTGAACGAGTCGTCGCTTGCACTCACTCCGCCGCTGCTGCTGTTGAGGTCATCCACTCCGCTGGCCTCTGCTCCAGCTTCCGCTGCTCCTTCGCCCGTTGGTGGAATGTCAATGGTGTGCGACTCGTTACCGAAGATTAAGCGGAGTCGCTTCTTCTGGGGTGTCACGTACACGCTGCTGCTACACGAGCTGGGATCCGGGGACCGTCGCTGGCTGCTGCAGCCTCGCTGTTTTTTCCTTTGCTTCTTTGAAAGCGGCTCGTAGTGGATGGTACTGGGTGGGGCTGCATCGAGTGGTACATGTTGATGCTCTGCATCCTGTTCGGGCTGATCTTCAGAATCATCGTCGTCCTCGTGCTCCTCCTCGTCCTCGTCTTCGTCGACATCGTCTTCATCGTCGTCGTCATCATCGTTGCCATGCTCCGAAATGCCTTCCATGCGTAGAATCTCATACTCAATGCCAATCCCCTCTGCTCCAGTGACATCGGCACTGCCAACCGCTCCTCCCGATCCAGAGCTAGCTCCAGTCGCGCCTGCACTACGCCCACCTATAGCTCCATTGTGCCTGGCCAGATGCCGCTCGTCGCTGAAGCTGGTGCCCAGCTCAATGACTTCATCCAGTATCGGAGAGCGCTTCATCCGCAGAGTGAGCTTCAGCCGACGCTCGGGAGTCTTCAGAAGGGGCTCCACGCTGCTGCTGCTATTCGACAGGCTGATGGATGCCCTTTCGCTGGCTACCCCTGCTGCTGCTCCTGCACTTGCTGGTTGCTGTCTTTTGCGCTGACTGCTTGCTGCTGCTGGTCCTGCTCTTGCTCTTGCTCCTGCTCCTACTCCCACTCCAAATCCCAATCCAGGTACAGCCTGTCCACCGAATGCGTCGCAATGGATGTGCTGGGCTGCAGCCAGTGCAGCGGCTCGACGACTGCGTTTCTGATTAGAGGGATTGTCTTCCGCCGTGAGATGGGAAGGAGGATTAGCCTGGTTAAAGGTGTCCAAAAGATTCTTTTTATAGGCAGGACTGTTGCTGCGACTGCGACGCGTTGCCTTCTGCTGCTGATGTTGCTGCGACTGGTGTAGGGACTGTGCTTCAACTGAGGACGTGGATGTGGGTATGGATGAGGCCTCACTTGGTGCTGGCTTCTTCGATTTAACACTATGTCTACCTCTAAGATTAGAATTATGATTAATTCTACTGCTATCATTACTATTATGATTATTACAATTTGTAATCGTTGTTGCTTTGTTGCTGCTGTTGCTACTTGTGGTTGTGGCTGTTGCTGTCGCTGCTGTTATGCTACTAATATTATGGGCAGTGGCTAATCTTCCTAGTCCTAGAAGTCCAATTCCTCCTGATGCCGACGCTGGTGCTGGTGCCGATGACGCAGCTGCTGCTGCGGCAGCTCTTCCTGCACTATTCCGCGTCACGCGCTTCTCCTGCTGCTGATCACCGTCCATAACGAACACTTTTGTGGGCTGGTGTTCCTCGCTCCCGCGCGCTTTCACCCGCTGACGCTCACACCGCTGATGGTCGGTGTCGCTGCTTTCGCTGTCCGTGATATATTTTTCCAGTGACTTTTCCTTCTGGCCACCTCGATTTGTTTGCCGCTCGCTGCGCCGCAGTTGCCTCTGCTGCCTCTGGTGCAGCGCCGCAATGGCCATGGCCGGCTTGCATCGCGTCACCAGCACAACGGCGGACTTTGCAGACATCGGTATTGTCAGTGGCAATGGTATGGGCATTGACGGGGCGCTGGTTACCACCACCTCGTCCATGGAGGCTGTGGAGATGCTGCTGCTGGTGCTGTTTACTCGGATGGACTTGCGCAGGGTGTTTGAGCGACCGTTCAATTCCGTGCTGGAGGAGGAAAAGGTTCCACCAGCGGCACATGCGCCTTGTCCTACACCTGCGCCTTCTCCAGTGCATGTAACCGGGACCACTCCAGGCTTCTGCATGGCCAGCTGCTGAACAGCGGCTGTGGCCTCGGCCCCGGTGCTGGCATGCTGTCCGTGGTGGTGTTGATGAAGAAAGTGCTGATGATGGTGATGGTGGTGGTGGTGCTGCTGCTGGTAGGCAGCATTGGCCATGATCATCTCAGCATCGTACTTGGTCATACCCTTCTGACGCAGCTCCTTCATGGTCAGGGGCGAAACGACCAAATTTGGCAGCTTCTTCTCCATCAGGGATACAGCTGCGGCTGCTGCTGCAGATCCCGTTTGCGCAGAGCCCGTCTCTTTGCCAGATCCACGACCCCCCACAGCCTGTCCGGCGTGCTGGGATATGGGTACTGCCATTGGGGCTACTCCATTGCTGGCAATGCTGGTGCTGCTGCTGTCGTTGGTGCTGGTGGAATCGTTGGTGTTGCTGTTGCTATTCGAAGTGCTGTTGGTCGAGTTCGCGCGGCTCTTAATGCGATTGATGCGATTGTCGGTTTCGCGCAGGCGGTAGCCGCCTCCGTTGCCAGCGCCGCCGCTGGTCAGCCCCAGGCCCGAGGTCAGGCCCAGCACCAGGCCAGTGGCATCATCCAAATGTCTGTTGTGCTTGCCGGCAAAGGCACCCGTTCCACGTCTCTCGCACGTCTCGCACTCACAATAGCGGTTGCTGTCCCCGAAGAAGTCCTCGCCGTAGAAGCAAGTGATCTCCTCGCCCACCTCGATGTCCCGCAACACCTTCACGCAGGCCGTGTCGCGTCCGGTGGCCAGGAATTTGCAGTTAGCCCGACAATCGTGATTGATATACGCCGCCGGTCCCAGCCAGAGTTGGGCGCAGTTCTTTCTGCAGCTATACATCACAGAGAAGTCATTTTTGCCCGAGTGCAAGAGTGCCGCCTCCTCGGCCTCCGTCAGCTCGGCAATGCAGCCAACCAGGCACTCGATTTTTTCGTTCTTGGACCAGCGTTTGGTGGAACTGATCTTCGCCCCGCGCTGCTCCTCCAGGGAGTACCGGTAGCAAGCCTCGATGGCGAACCCACTGTCCTTGTCAAACACACGCAAATACCGTACAATCTGCAATAGAAAGAGTGTATTCAGTTAGCGGGTCAGACGTCAGGAGGATTTGGGGCATGGAAGGTCAACTTACGTGGTCGTGTAACCGCTTTGTGGCGATCTTGTTCTTGTTTTTCAGGTGGCGCGGTATCCAAGGGCCATCGTAGATGCGCTGTATGGCCACGTCATAGTTCTGACCGTGGATGAAGTCATCTACGATCGCCTTCAGATGCTGCGTATCAACCTTGAGGGGGCGGAAGCGTATGTTCATCTTGTGGGTTTGGAAGCCAAGATGCGGATCAAGTATGAGCGATGTGGCCAGATCGTCGTTCTCCGATAGTTCACGCGGTGACATCCCAGTTGATTGTGACAACCGACTGACGGCGCTGCCATTACAGCCATTGAGGGTACTTCCTCCACCTGCTCCTGTTCCTGCTCCACCGCCTCCTCCGTTTCCATTTGAGGATTGAAGCTGTTGATGGTGGTGGTTGTGTGCCTGCTGCTGTTGGTAATGGGGATGATGGGGTTGATGGTGGTTCGTCGTTGTCGCTATCGTCGGCTGCTGCAGCTGATGGTGGCTGCTCGCTGTGGGTGGTGCTTGGGCGGCATTTTGGCTTTTTTGGGACATTGACGACAAAAGTGCCGCCGTCGCCGCCGCTGCCTCGCTGCTAGCTACGGAAGACGTTGAGCTGGTGGTGGAGGTGGTGCCACCACTTGTGCTGCTGGCGGTGCTGTTGGAGCTGCTGTTTGTAAATCTGCTGCCAGTTTCACCACGCCGCGTGTGATTCGAGCCGACGACCATTCTGTGGGAGTCTGAAAAAAAAAACCCATTACATACTCATTACATATTGCAGGCGGTACCAGTACACATCATCAGACGACATAATAATCGTTTCCAATTTGTAATTTCACACCCCAACAGCTGTTTTCCGATTCAAATTACCAACTGTTTTCTCTTTTTCTTTCGTGTGGCAACGTTGTGTGGCTGTAGCTGCAGCTGCTCTACTCTAATCTTCATGCTCATTTCCACAGAACGAAGCGAGAAGGCAGTAGTATTCGCAGATTTTATTCGTTACTATGTTCAATTCAATTCTCGACTAACAAATAAAATAAATACGACAGAATGTACATACATATGTACATACACATAAATATGTATGTATGGTATACATTTCGCTTGCCTTTAAGTTAGTTCAAGTCAAGTCATTGCAAGTGACAAAAATTGCAATAGATGTATCGATAGTGCCATCGAGACTAAAATATCTTCGCCCAATCACCAAAAAGTGAAGTGATTAATAAAAAGAAATGGAATATCGCGAATCCCAAGCTGATAATGGGAATGATAATGAAAAACCAATCATGTAGTTTAGCTTAAAAGAGAAGAGCCCAAGGGTGAAGGGTTGCAGCAAACAGAATGTTTTATTTTATCGGCTGTGTAATTTCGCCACAGGGTTGGACTGCATAGAAACAGCTGATTGAATATACGTATGATATACAACTCAAATTTTGATTAGCCATTTTTTGTAACTCCTTGTTTGACTTGACTCTTAAAGGTAGGAAGGAGGGGTACACAGGGCGAGAGATAGAGAGGGTGTAAAATATACACCAGGTGTTACATGGGGTCGACGACAGGCGACGCTCTCTCGTTCCCGTCTATCTCCCACGCGCTCTCTCCAGCCAAACCACACACACACAAACATGCGAAAAAATCAATTAACTCAAGAAGCACATGTGTAAATATTTTAGCTAGAAGTTACACGCCGTGGCGGTGTTACAACAATATAGCGGTGACTGGCGACATCCGTGGATATAAAAATTATCACTGTCAGTCAGGGGACGCCCAGAGCAAGTACTCGTCTATGCCCACTTTCCTAAATATGACTTGGAACGGAAAAAAATAGTAATTTAATTTGTTGCCAAAGCAAGGGCTCGTCTCACTAGAGTTCGATTGCAAATTGCGGACTGCTAAAGTTCTCAGCTGTTTTATACAAACGTATACATACGTATGCACATATGTGTTCCTGTTATGTTTGCGATTTCCGAGCAAGCCGGAGCAAAAAGAGAGCAGCATATGCGCAGTGAGAATATGTGAGGGTGAGTGTGAAAAAAGGGTTGTCAAACAGGCAAAACAGGGTTTTGAAATTGAAATAATAAATTGGGGCTGGTATGAATCAGCTGAACGTACTGGAAAATTCGTTTTAGCGCAAATAATGCCACAGCTCTTCAAGTGATAGTACTGTGGAGACGGGCACAAATGAATCTTGCGCTTTGTCGCGTATGTCTGTTTGGTCTTGAAATGTAGTGTAATACGACCATTATTAGACCGAGAATTGCGATGGTAGTTCTGGCACAAACGTATTTTTCCTCACAGGGGAACCTCGAACAAGAAGCAGCCAAGAATGTCAATGCCCGTAGAAACTTAAAAAAATGTAAGTAAAATCGATATTTAAGCTGGATTTGGCACTGTTTAATAACCAAGATAGATGTTAAAAAATTTTAAGGAGAGAAAATTGTTTGAAAGCCTTGTCAACCCTAGTCGAACATTTGCAGAGCTTGCTTGTTACATGTGAACGAAAAATGGCGGCGCCCATTACACAGGAACGGAATACACACGCACGAACACACACATTGACAAACAAGCCAACATATACAGATAAAATGTTTATAATTTTTTCTTTTGATTTGTCGATTTTTGTAAACATTACCTTAAATGAATTATTCACAAAGGCGCTACTGGCTGATGCTTCGCTTCTCTCCACTCTTTGTCTTCGGGGGCTGTGCCTGATGCTTTGTCTGTCGTTCTGCTACCTTCCAATGTGTTTTTTTTATTTTTGTTGCGTCGTCGGCAGAGGCATGCACACACACTCGAACAGCGCACGTACAGGCTTGTTTTCGGTTGTTGCTGGATGTTCGTCTGAGTTTGCATCCGAAATATATCACAGTGGGCTGGAATAGAAGCCGTTGGTAGGTTCTCTGGCTCTTACGGATACGATGGAGCCTTCGGCGTCGCTGGTGGTGGTTACTCTGCTATGCCAAATCATTTTCACGTCTGTTCCCAAAAAACATTCAGTCGCCGCTGTCCATACCCCTCTCGCTCGCTCCCACCCACTCCAACTTCCAGCCGCTTGATCAATCTTTCCTTCTGCTCCCCCTCCTCCAAAGCGATTGGAGACGGACTCCGAATCTCTGCTAGAAGCTGCAGCCACCACACTTATGTGTACACGACGCATACACACGCACATACATATGTAGATACATATATTCCTTCGAAACGACGACGTCGACGAGCGTGTGTATGTATGTATGCCTTTTCCTACCACTCTGTCTTTGCCTCATTAAATTTTATTTTTTGTATCGCGTTTACCGATATTGACTTATCATTTTCGTAGCGCGCATGTGAGCATGGACCGTTCCAAAAGACGGTTTAAGTTAATTCAATTTACAAAATGGGTTCGGTCTCGGGCGGAGAGTTATTTTCAGCGTTATAATTTTCCGCGATATTCCGATTCCGAATCCGTTTTTTTCGCCACCCAAGTTAGGGATAGGGATGACAGAAGCACCGATAGCTGCTCTACGTATATCGACCAAGGGTCCCTTTATCACGAGTTTTGCCTCATCAGAACCATCACTAAGTGTAACCGAAAAAAGTGTGACCACAAAATATAATTTGTTAATATCCACTAATCGATAGTGGACACAAGGCAAACGATAGTTTTGGAAAATTCTGGCCTGCTAATAACAAAAACCATATTCTAATGTATCATTCATATAAAGTTTGCATAATATAATATGTATTAATTTCAATTTTCAATTTTTACACGCGATACAGTCGATGGTGGGCAGACACAATCGATGTTCGGCTAATTTTTCCAACCATCATTAATATCGATAGCGCTATCGATTCTTTCCCAATCCTAACTCTTTTATCTACGACGTTCGCTTCACAATTCGTAAAAACATTTAAATTTCTGGCTGAAAAAATAGTTTAACAACTTCTTTAGCTGTATTCAACTAAAACAATACGTAAAGGTGAGTGTTCTACCAATAACAAGAGATGAAAAGACGAAATGTATGCATTTCAAAACGATTGTGCAGGGCGAAAAAAAATACGCACACACAGGCGCAATCGTATATGTATGTTTTGTTTTAATACTCACATACATATATGTATTTCAATGACGCGTGCCTGCATATGTGTGGATGTTTGTGGCTTGTTTTTCCTACATATCTATATATCGCACTTTTTCCCCATTTCCAGGAAAACAATATCCAAAATGCCCAGCATTAAACTGCAGTCCTCGGACGAGGAAATATTTGATACCGACATCCAGATCGCAAAGTGCTCAGGAACTATCAAGACAATGCTTGAGGATTGCGGAATGGAAGATGACGAGAATGCCATTGTCCCTCTGCCGAATGTGAATTCCACCATTTTGCGTAAGGTATTGACCTGGGCCCACTACCATAAGGACGATCCCCAGCCAACTGAAGATGACGAGAGCAAGGAGAAGCGCACCGACGACATCATCTCGTGGGACGCCGATTTCCTTAAGGTAGACCAGGGCACACTCTTCGAGCTAATCCTGGCCGCCAATTATCTGGATATAAAGGGTTTGCTCGAACTGACTTGCAAGACCGTGGCAAATATGATTAAGGGCAAGACCCCAGAGGAGATACGTAAGACTTTCAACATCAAGAAGGACTTCACTCCCGCCGAGGAGGAGCAGGTGCGCAAGGAGAACGAGTGGTGCGAGGAGAAGTGAGATGAGCTAACAAGGAAGCGGTGGGCCATCAGGCCGTCCTCAGCTGCCGGCTGATAACTCAATAATTTAATAATTTTAATTAATTCGATGTAGAAAACCTGTTCAGTGGTTACTTTGTCATTCACAAATTAAAAAAAAATATGCGTAATTTTTGTTGCATATGCGTAAGAAACACAGCTTCACACTTGGCTGCACTTGTCTTGCCAAGGCCCTGGATCAACGGTCTGCGTTTGCCGACATGCTGCGTGTTCCTTTTATCATCGAAGAGTTTAGGGATAAATTTTTACTTTGGGGGAAATGCTTCCGACCCCATAAAGTATATGATCAGCATCAACAGCAGAGTCGATATAGCCATGTCTGTATGTCTCGATGAGCGCCTAGTTCTCAGAGACTATAAGAGCTAGAGCATCCAAATTTAGTATCCATACTGCTGTGATATCACACTGCAACAAGTGTATTTCAAAATTTAGCCCCGTCCCCTTCCGCACCTACAAAGCAGTAAACTCTGTTGCATCCACAATTTTAAAGATACGATAAACCCGAAAACACAGGAAAAGTAGTGTGTCCTTTATTTTTTGTGTATCGGTGCATTAATTAGGCGTCGTTTAAGGTATTGCTCACTAAAATCTACGAAGAAACTTTGGAGCTAAAATTCGTTAACCAAACCTAAAAAATGAGCAAAAACTACCTTTTGGAAGGTATTTGTCAGCTTTTTATACCCGTACTCAAAAAAGAGTTAAGGGGTATATTAGATTTGTGGTAAAAGTGGATGTGTGCAACGCAGAGAAGGAAACGTTTCCGACCCCATAAAGTATATATATTCTTGATCAGCATCAATAGCCGAGTCTATATAGCCATGTCCGTCTGTCCGTCCGTCCGTCTTGATGAGCGCCTGGATCTCAGAGACTATAAGAGCTAGAGAAACCAAAATTGGTTTCCAGACTCATGTGATATCACACTGCTACAAGTGTATTTCGCCCGGCCCCCTTCCTCCCACACAAAGGACGAAAATCTGTGGCAGGCACAGTTTTAAAGATACGATAAAACTAAAAACGCAGTATCGTAGAGAATGCCCATATATACCAGATTGCCGAATCTGAATCAGATCGGATCATAATTATAGCCAGAATGAAGAAATTCATTTTCAGTTGATTCCCCCACCTCATTCGGCGCTGCCGACGCTACTTATTCTCCTTCTCGCTTGCACATTTTCTGTCCTATGCAGTATATAATATATATATATTATATATAACATTTCAGATGTAGAATAAACATGTTAGATGTAGATGAAAGATGTAGCAAAAAAATTTAAAATGTAAAATATTTTAAAATTCTACATAAATCATAATAATGTGGATTCCAGTGCGTATACAGCAGAAAAAAGGAAAGATTGCATTGGTTCACGTTAACATGATTGGCAGCGCAGCAGCAGGCATGCTTCTATGAACGCGCCTCTACTTTTATACCCGTACTTAGTCAGTATATAAATTTGTGAGCTTATGATTTATTTGAATTTTAAAATATTTTACATTTTACATTTTTTTGCTACATCTGTCATCTACACCTAACATGTTTATTCTACATCTGAAATGTAGATTATACATCTACCTTTTGGAAGGTATTTGTCAGCTTTTTATACCCGTACTCAAAAAAGAGTTAAGGGGTATATTAGATTTGTGGTAAAAGTGGATGTGTGTAACGCAGAGAAGGAAACGTAAGCGGCCTAACGAACATGACTTTGTTTTATATATATAGATTCCACATGAATCATAAGCTCACATACATATATATATACTGACTGAATACGGGTATAAAAGTAGAGTCTCGGCCACAGCAGCGACTCACAACGTTTCCTCTCGTTATACCTGCGGCAGCACTATTTTGCCTGTTTTTTATGAAGGACTGCAACACATATCGCTCTAGAGCAGTGGTTGGCACGCTCGCATTCACATGTTTTGCAGTGCGTTTGTGTGCGTATTAGAGCCCTGCATGAACGGGCAACCAAATCGATTTGCAGGAATTCGGTATTCGCTTCGTCCGGTCCGATGGAATCACCGACTCGGCTTTCTCATAACTTCGAAACGCACGTGTCAGTTCCGAACAGTTCGGTTTTTTCTCTTTTTTACTCTCCACTTGATTTTCTGGTAGAGAGAACGAGAAAGCAATACACAATTTGCTGATTTTTATACCCAAAAGGAGTAGGGGTATATTTTATTTGTGGTAAAAGTGAATGTGTGCAACGCAGAGAAGGAATCGTTTCCTACCCAATAAAGTATAAATATATTCTTGATCATCATCAATAGCTGAGTCGATATAGCCTTGTCTGTCTGTTCATCCGTCCGTCTTGTTAAGCGCATAGATCTCAGAGACTATAAGAGCTAGAGAAAACAAATTTTGTTTCCAGACTCATGTGATATCACACTGCTACAAGTTTATGACCATATCTACCAGCTTGCCGAATCTGAATCAGATCGGATCATTATTATAGCCAGAGTAAAGAAATAAATTTTCAGTTGCTTCCCCTCCCCCTCCCGCCCACGACAACGAAACTCATTTTCCTTCTCGCTCGCACACTCTGCCGCGTTCAGTGCGCGAGCAACCCCTAGCGGAGGAGATGTAGAATCTAAATGGTACATGTACAATCTACATGTTAGATGTAGAATAGACATTGTAGATGAGATGTAGATAACAAATGTAGCAAAAAAATGTAAAATGTAAAATTTTTTTTTTAATTCTAAAATTCTAAAAAATCATGCTCAAAAATGTATATACTGACTGAGTACGGGTATAAGTAGAGTCGCGTCCACAGAAGATACTCACACGTTCCTTCTCGTTAAAACTGCAAAGATATAAGATACTTAAGTTATGTAAAAAAAAGAAGCACTACCTCTGAAAAAAACATAAAAAAATACCAGATTTTTTTGAATTCTTAAAAAAATAACTAAACCATAAAAAAACACCATAATTTGTTTAAAATGTTTAAACCCCGGAATCTATAAGAAAAAGTCATTTTGGGCCACAGCGTAAATGTCGTGTTGACTAGTGTTATCCAACTGAACTTTTAAACTCCTTGATGTGCCTGGTTTAACACCGCACAATTAAAGCCTAGTACTTGTTGCATTTCAGGGTAATCGATTGAAATAATCTGCATGTTAGAGAGGAAGGTTTCCAGACAGGGTGGCAAGGCCGAGGTTGAAGGGATAGTGGTGAGCGGATGGTGGCGCCCCCTAGTCGGGCGATCTTAAAACTATGAGATCCGCGCGCTCTTGAATTCCCTTGTGGAGAGAGGAGAGCCGGTGTCCCGGAGCCAATTCACCCACACACGCTTAAGGGGAGAGAGAGCGGTTACAGGAAGAGTAGGCCATGCCCTTGAACCTGGTTCAAGGGCAATAGAAGAGATCGATGGGGCTTGGCGACCAACGATATAAAGCTTAGGCTTAGGCTTAGGACAGATCAAAAAAATCGTTGGCGGAAGACGGTACAAAAAAAAAATCGGTTACGGATCGGGTCTCAGAGAAATAAAAATAAAAATAATTAGAAAGTGAGTGAAATGAGGATGGGTAGTGGTCATCACTCAAAGTGAATTTTTTTTGTTTTACGTTTCCTCGAATAGCAAGGAGGAAGTAGAGCTGCCTAGCGGGACCGATGCGGATATATTAGAAAAGCTGGAAAAAAAAGGAACAAAGTGAGTCCGCTCCAATGGGGAGAAAAACCCAATTACACCCGTTTGTATTACCAAGAACTGTGCCCAGTTCCGCCGTCCTGTCCACAGCGGCATGGTCCTTCGCCCGGCCTAGAAGTGGACCCCGGAATATCGTCCCCGTCCTCCAGCAAAGATGTTATTAAACCCTATTTAAATACCTACATATAAGTTAGAACCCACTAGGCCGTCGCATATCTGTGTATACACTTATTTATTTATTTACCGTTAATTATATTTATTTATTTGTTCTTATATATGTAATTGTCACTATTTATAATTATTTATTTATTTAATCATAGTTAATTTGATACGCCCATGCCCATAATTTAGGTCACAGAAAGGAAGAGGTTAGGATGGGGATTAGGAGGTCGACCTAAACCAGCTAGGAGTTATAGAATACCAAAAGAATGTGTGAAAAATGTTATTTAAAGTGAAATTATAACGTTTAATATGAATTGCTAGTGTGTTTAGTATGGGGGGGAAAGGGGACCACAGCGGCGAAATGGAGATCGGCCGCTACACTTGAGGAAAAGAGGAGATTTGTAGTTGTTCCGCGTCGGAGAGATGATTGTCCGTGAGGTTTAGTGTAAAGTCCGTTGGTTTGTTTTGAATCGTCGTTTTGTTGTCATATTTGTTCGAGATGCCCGAACAGCTGGTTTGTTGTGCGACCTGGGGGCCTGGGAAAAACCTATTCCTGAGATGACTGGCTAGCCGGCCTTGCCCCACCACTAAAACAGGTTCGTAACAATAATGGCGCCCAATCTAAGACAAATTTGTGAGTCGCAGTCCGTTCTCGAACACGAAAGTGGGAGAGTACGGCTGCGAATCACAAAAGTCGAGGAGGTTATAAATGTCCAGCCGAGAGGAACGATCTCGAGTGGTAGTCTGCAGTAAGGGTCCGTCTGTGTACCGGTGGCCTGGGAGGAGCTGTGAAGGTTGGCTCGCAGATGCACGGCACTGAGGGATCTGAAAATGTAGGAATCCACAAAGTAAATTGTTTTTTTTGTAGTTTGTGTTTAAACTTATCTGACAGAGGGAAGCCGGAGCTCTCAAGGGGGTGAGGTTGGCACTGACGGAGGAGAATCCTCAAGCCAGTTAGCAACCGACCCGTTGCCTGGTGGACGAAAGAGAGCCTGGAAAGAAAAAATACCCAAAGTTAGTTAAGGTCGAGTAGTTTTTGTTTGTGCTGCTTCCCCTACTTACCGCTGGAGGAGGCGGGAAGGTAGTATCTCGTAGAGATTTTTGCTGTAGGTGGCCCGTGGGGACATTTAGTCGGTCACGCGATGCACCTGGAGCAGCTACAGGATCCCGAGGATATCCTTCAGTAGAGTAGTGGGACAGAAGCAGCTAGGTAGAAGAGTGAGCGCCCTTGACACTTAATCTTCTGTAGAAGATGAGAAGTCAACAGCGCTCGCGACTAAGAAGGTAGACGTTGGACAAGCAAAGACGTAGGGAACCAAGTGCAGATGGCTCCAGTAGCAGTTGTGGTTACTTTCCCCTCTTGTGGTTGATCTTGCAGTTTTTTTATTTGTTTTTTTTGTGTTGAGTTTTGTTGGAGTTAGGTAGTTATCTGTGAAAGAAAGGAAAGTTAGGTAGTTAGAAAAGTTTATGAGCAGCTACAACTTACGGTCAAGAGGGAAAATGACTCACAGGACTCCTCCGCCAGGAAACCTGCCTGAACAGATGCGAGGAGGAGATAGTCAGGGCGCGGAAGGAGGCGAGAACGACAGCTGGAACCTGCCGAAGACCCCAAAAGAATTGCCGTCGGAAATTCTTTCGGGCATAAACGTCGCCATAGCACAAGCGCAGGAGACGCAGAGAGGTGCTATGGCGGACACCATCAGCAGGACGCTGCAAGAAGAGATCCGTCGTGGATTTATGGAGCTGATGGGTGCCATAACGGAGGCAATGACGCCCCTGCGCCAGAAGGGAGAATTGATCCATGATCTGGGCTGGGAGAATGGTCCAAATGGCAGAGAAGGCGGTCCAGCGGCTCCAGAATGGCGAAGACAGAGTACCGGCACCAGACCCAAAGGTTCCGTGGAACAACAGGAGCATATTCCACAAGCGCCTCCAAGGAAGCCGGAGAGACGGAGCCAAAGTTGGGCCCACATGGTGGAAGATGGCGGTCTGGAAACGAGACCGATGGAACTGGAACGGGAACCAGCAGGAGACGGCGGAGCTCGGCGATTCACGACGCCCTACGAGAGGCGAGACGAGTGGAGAGAGCCGAGATGGGGACGCGTCGACAAGTGGGACATCCATTTCGACGGCGATCCAGACCCAGCCAAACTGACGGTGGAGGATTTTGTCTTTCGGGTCGAATTTCTCCAGAGGCAGAGTCGACGCTCGTGGGACGAAGTCCTCAATAATTTTCACCATCTGGTGAGAGGACGGGCTGCCGAGTGGTACTGGCAGTTTGTCCGAGAGAGGCCTCCAGAAGTCTGGGAGGACTTAAAGGACGAGTTGGTGACCCGATTCCGTGCAGTAGGTGGGCAGTACGAGCGGCTGCGTGCGTTGCATGAGCGACGCCAAGAACCTGGAGAATCGGTGGAAGACTACTTCCGAGCTATGCGGAGGCTGGACGCAAGGCTTATCACACCAATAGCGGATTCCGAGATGGTCAGAGTCGTCAAGAAGGGACTCGAGGAGGAGATCGCTCGGTATGTGTACGCGATCCGAGTCCGGAACCTGGAGCAGCTGAGGGAAGAGTGTGTAGAGGTGGAATACCATTTACGCAGACGTGAGCGAAGGTCAGCTTTTCGCCCGACGACAAAATTCCAACAATCCGGGAAGCGAGTCGAGGAGATAGAGCCAGATTCGGAGCTGTTGGAAGGAAAGGAAGAGTTGATGGTTGAGGAAACCCACCTGACAGCGAAGCCGAGGCTGGGTTGCTGGAATTGCGGAGAAGTTGATCACGGGTTCCGAGAGTATATGGCAAAGGAACGCAGAGTATTCTGTTACCTCTGCGGAAAGCCCGAAACGTACACGCCGAAGTGTCCCAACTGCTCGGGAAACGCAAGAACGGGCTTGATAAAGGCGGGACATCAGAGCTCGGGACGAAGGCCCGCGAGAAAGTGAAGGATGCACTGTTGGAGTTTGTAAAAATTAAGCATATTAACCCAAGTAGTGTAGAAAAATATAGTTTAAAATTCTTACCGGCCGAAGAGAGGATGAGGAGATATACACAAGTCCGAAATCGGATCTTTGACGGACATCAGCTGAGTGGAATGCGAGGTGTCAGCCGTAGACTCCAGAAGGCCCGGGCACGCTTCCGGCAAAGGAGACAGACTCGCAAGGAGGTGGCTGAAGCAGTCAGGCGTGGAGCAGGACGTGACCCAAGGGTTTTTGCCAAGGTGCAAATCCTAGGACGGAAGATTTCCGGACTCCTGGATACTGGGGCATCCGTAAGTGTCCTCGGAAAGGGCAGTCGTGAGCTCCTAGACGACCTCGGGGTGGAGATGGACAACTATGTCTCGATCGTCAAAACCGCCGCAGGAGAGGACCGGACCATAATCGGCAAGGCGAGAATCCCTGTGGAGTACAAAGGAATCAGCAAGGACGTTCTCTTTTACATCTGTCCATACCTGGAGCAAGTCATGTACTTGGGTGTCGATTTTTGGAGGTCGTTCGCGTTGGCTCCCACAGTCCTCGGAGCTTATCCAAGTTCGCCCAGCGATGCCAAGATATCCGAAGTCCAGATGTCACAGATCAGCCAATATGCCGAAGACCATCAGGAGAACGTACATGTGGACGCGTGGGACCTGGAAGAGAAAGAAGCTGAAGAACTAGAGGAGGTGAAGAAGGAGTTCCTAACTTACGAAGATGCCGGATTAGGGTCAACGACGGTAGAGGAGCATCGGATCCAGTTGGTAGAGGGCGCGAGCCGTTTAAAGATCGACACTACCCTCAATCCCCAGCGATGCAGGAAGTGGTCTGGACCGAAGTGGACAAGATGCTGGAACTGGGAGTGATAGAGGTTAGCGATAGTCCGTGGAGCAACAGGACGACGGTAGTGCGGAAGCCTAACAAAAACAGATTTTGTTTGGACGCGCGAAAGCTGAACCAACTCACCGTCAAAGACGCATACCCTCTTCCTAGCATCGAGGGAATACTGTCCAGGATCGACCAGACGCACTACATTTCCAGTGTAGACCTCAAATTTGCTTTCTGGCAAATTAAGCTGGATCCAGAAAGCAGAAAGTGTACCGCGTTCACCGTTCCAGGTCGTCCGCTGTACCAGTTTGTAATGATGCCCTTCGGTCTGTGTAACGCTGCACAGAGGCTATGCAGGGTGATGGACAAAGTGATCCCGACGCAGTTGAGATCAAACGTTTTCGTCTATCTAGATGATCTCTTGGTGATAGCTCCCGATTTCCAGACACATCTCCGGTACCTTCGGTTGGTGGCCCAGTGCCTGCGAAAAGCAAATTTAACAATAGGCTTACAAAAATCAAAATTTTGCTTTAGGTCCCTGAAATACCTGGGATTTATCATCGGAGGTGGCACGTTGCAGATGGATCCTGAGAGAGTTTTGGCCATTCAAAGGATTCCCAATCCGAGTTCAGTGAAGGAACTAAGAAGCTTCCTAGGAACCGCAGGATGGTACAGGCGCTTCATCAAGGATTACGCTTCCATTGCAGTGCCGCTGACAGACGCGCTGAAGAAGCATCCGCGTGGAAAGTTTTTCCTGTCCACGGAGGCCGAAACGGCGATAGGATCCCTGAAGAAGGCACTCACCACGGCTCCGGTATTGAGTCATGCGGATTTCAAGAAGCCTTTCTACGTACAGTGCGACGCATCGAATTACGGAGTGGGAGCGGTGTTGTTTCAGTCAGACGTCGAAGGAGCCGAGCGTCCGGTGGCATTCTTCTCCGCCAAGTTAAACAAGCATCAGCTAAATTATTCTGTAACGGAAAAAGAGTGTTTAGCTGCGGTGTTGGCCATTGAGAAATTCAGACCATACGTTGAATTGATGCCCTTCACGGTTATCACGGATCACGCCAGCCTGAAATGGCTCATGTCGTTGAAGGACCTAAACGGACGTCTTGCGAGGTGGTCATTGCGACTGCAGAGGTTTGACTTTGGGATCGAACACCGGAAAGGAGCCGATAACGTCGTGGCGGATACGCTCTCACGCTGCATCGACGAAGTGGTGATAGATCCAACGGAGATCCTCGGGTTCCAGACGACAGAGTTTGAGTCTTCAGAATATCAGGAGCTGAAAGGAGAAATCGGCAAGAATCAAGACATGTTGCCCGACTTACGAGTGGAAGGGGATTTGATATTCAAGCGGATGGCCTTCACGCAAATGGACGACCAAGTGGAAGGGTCCATTTGGAAATTATGGATTCCCGCGTCACTGACGGAAACTCTCATCTCCAAGGCCCACGAAGACCACACAGCTGGACACGGCGGACTTAAGAAGACCCTGCATCGGCTTAGAAGGCAATTCTACTGGCCAGCGATGACGACACAAGTGCGGGAGTATGTCCGGAATTGCGATGCATGTAAGGAGTCCAAAGCTCCCAATTATCGAAGCCAGGTAGGGATCGGTCAGGAAGTCGTAACGGAGAGGCCGTTCCAGAAATTATACATCGATTTTCTGGGAAAGTATCCCGGTCAAAAAGGGGACAAGCCTGGATATTTGTCGTCGTAGACCACTTCTCTAAATTCACCTTCCTGAAAGCGATGAGAGAGGCGACCGCGGCGAACGTAGTTCAATTCCTAGTACAGGAAGTGTTCTACAAGTTTGGGGTGCCCGAGGTGATCCACTCCGACAACGGAAAACAGTTCCTGTCGAAGATCTTCCAGGACATGATCAGCACCTTTGGCGTCCGACATCTGCGCACAGCAGTCTACTCACCACAGAGCAATGCCGCCGAGAGGGTGAACCGGACAATATTAACTGCAATCAGGACGTATTTAGAGAAGGATCATCGAGACTGGGATATATACCTACCGGAGATTGAAGTGTCGATCCGTGACTCAGTACACGAAGCAACAGGCGTGACGCCGTTTTTTGCAGTTTTTGGACAGCAAATGTTCCTTAATGGGAACTGCTATAAGTTGGCGAGGAAGCTGCAGTCGCTGACGGAGCATGAGGTGCACGCATTGGACCCCGCGGATAAATGCCACATCATCCGGGAACGTATTAAGGCCAACCTTCACCACGCGTATGAGCGCAGCAGCCAGCGCTACAACAAACGGGCCCGAATATTCTTCGCCAAACCTGGGCAAGAAGTATACAGGCGCAACTTCACCCTCAGTGACTTTGGGAAGAGCTACAACGCTAAGTTCGCCCGGAAGTTCCTGAAGTGCCGAGTCGTACGCCCGGTTGGAAATAATGCCTACGAACTTGAAGACCTGGCGGGGAAGCCGGTGGGGATTTTTCACGCCAAAGACCTAAAATTGTAGGAGCAAAATTAACACCAAGATGTACTCACGTATTAATTGGTAGAAGAGTGGGTGTAAGCCTACGTTGGGGCGCTGTAGGCAAGGCCGACGCAAACTTATAAGTCCTTCAATGTTGGTGAATAATTCTTCGCGTCCATGGTCCCCCGAATTTTCACTAGGTGTTGCATTTCAGGGTAATCGATTGAAATAATCTGCATGTTAGAGAGGAAGGTTTCCAGACAGGGTGGCAAGGCCGAGGTTGAAGGGATAGTGGTGAGCGGATGGTGGCGCCCCCTAGTCGGGCGATCTTAAAACTATGAGATCCGCGCGCTCTTGAATTCCCTTGTGGAGAGAGGAGAGCCGGTGTCCCGGAGCCAATTCACCCACACACGCTTAAGGGGAGAGAGAGCGGTTACAGGAAGAGTAGGCCATGCCCTTGAACCTGGTTCAAGGGCAATAGAAGAGATCGATGGGGCTTGGCGACCAACGATATAAAGCTTAGGCTTAGGCTTAGGACAGATCAAAAAAATCGTTGGCGGAAGACGGTACAAAAAAAAAATCGGTTACGGATCGGGTCTCAGAGAAATAAAAATAAAAATAATTAGAAAGTGAGTGAAATGAGGATGGGTTGTGGTCATCACTCAAAGTGAATTTTTTTTGTTTTACGTTTCCTCGAATAGCAAGGAGGAAGTAGAGCTGCCTAGCGGGACCGATGCGGATATATTAGAAAAGCTGGAAAAAAAAGGAACAAAAACTGTGCCCAGTTCCGCCGTCCTGTCCACAGCGGCATGGTCCTTCGCCCGGCCTAGAAGTGGACCCCGGAATATCGTCCCCGTCCTCCAGCAAAGATGTTATTAAACCCGATTTAAATACCTACATGTAATTTAGAACCCACTAGGCCGTCGCATATCTGTGTATACACTTATTTATTTATTTACCGTTAATTATATTTATTTATTTGTTCTTATATATGTAATTGTCACTATTTATAATTATTTATTTATTTAATCATAGTTAATTTGATACGCCCATGCCCATAATTTAGGTCACAGAATGGAAGAGGTTAGGATGGGGATTAGGAGGTCGACCTAAACCAGCTAGGAGTTATAGAATACCAAAAGAATGTGTGAAAAAAGTTATTTAAAGTGAAATTATAACGTTTAATATGAATTGCTAGTGTGTTTAGTATGGGGGGAAAGGGGACCACAGCGGCGAAATGGAGATCGGCCGCTACACTTGAGGAAAAGAGGAGATTTGTAGTTGTTCCGCGTCGGAGAGATGATTGTCCGTGAGGTTTAGTGTAAAGTCCGTTGGTTTGTTTTGAATCGTCGTTTTGTTGTCATATTTGTTCGAGATGCCCGAACAGCTGGTTTGTTGTGCGACCTGGGGGCCTGGGAAAAACCTATTCCTGAGATGACTGGCTAGCCGGCCTTGCCCCACCACTAAAACAGGTTCGTAACATACTCAGATCGAAAAAAACACCTCGCGAACAGAATCAGGGTTGATATTCGTATGAAACCGATAAGAAATTTTTTACGGCAAAAACTGTTTTCTAGGCTCTGTACGGAAGCAGCCATACAGTATATAGATGTGCCAGTTCATACAACGAAAGGGGCGCAGTTGAGGTTTCTGTCTCAGCACCCCCAGGTCTTCGGCTAGGGTGCTGGGACCATTCGGCTGTGGTGCTGAGACGTTCGGGTCGTGGCCCTGAGATTCATGACGAGATGCGAAAGGAAGCCGAGAATTGCAAAAATATGTGTGTACACAGACACGACAAAATATTTATGAATTCTTATTTTCCGAAACCGTTTTGAGTTTGTTTTGAGTATCGTTTCCAGGTTACGTAAATGTGTGTGTGTGTCATGTCCCTCTAGTACCAGGCAACTAGTTCGGTACCGGTGCCGAACTAGCTACCATTCTCATGTCCCTAGTTCCGCTTCGTTTCCCCGACAATGTATTTCAGCGGAGAATTTAACACATGTATGTCCTAGGGCGTAACCACCCCTGGTTCCCGATCGATTACCCTTCGACTACCACTAGCTAGTTGCTTATGAGCTAGTTCCGACCTAGTTACCAGTAGATCGTCAGCAACTAGTTCCCGATCGATTACCCTTCGACACTAACCATACAGTATATAGATGTGCCAGTTCATACAACAAAGGGGCAGCTGATTGAGCGTACGTTCCCAACTTTGGCTTTGGGAATGGCCGCGTTGGGCTCATAACGTCACACGAGCCGACTGGCAGCAGCATGCATGTGTTGTGTACGTGTACACTCCAAAATATATGATTGTATGCATAGAATAATTTTTAGCTGCCGAAACCGATTGTTCGAGATTTCAGTTACGTAAACGTGTGTGTCATGTATCCACATACTGGCTTGTGTGTGGGCCTACATTTTTGCCGCTTGAATTGGTTTTTCATTTTGTTTTGACGGCTGATGTGATGTAGCGACCCATTCAGGGCCGATCAACCTTAACCGGGCCTGGGACCATCACTGGGGCCCTCCTTTATTTTGTATTTTTCTCAGTGGCTATTATATTTTTTATTCATTATTTGGAGTTCGGTTTTTCAACAAAATTTTTCTGTTATCCCTAGGGGGCCCTATGTAATCCGGCTGACCTATTCCCGTCGTCAGACTTTATATTTTCTTGGTGTATTCTGTCGCTCGACTCGACGCGGGTCCGAAGCCGAAAGCAGGGCAAAGGCTAACCTAAAAAAATGGAAGAAATACCCCGCGCGCCCGTCGCAACAAAAGCTTTTCAAAACAAAACGAAAAAATATTTTATGAACCGCTTCGTCAATGCCTCAACCCGCGTCGAGTCGAGCTACAGAACACACCAAGAAAATATGAAGTCTTACGACTGGAATAGGTCCAGGGCCGGATTAGCATAGGGCCCCCTAGGGATAACAGAAAAATTTTGTTGAAAAAACCGAACTCCAAATAATGAATAAAAAATATAATAGCCACTGAGAAAAATACAAAATAAAGGAGGGCCCCAGATTGATGGTTGCCCCAGGGCCCGGTTGAGGGTTGATGCGGCCCTGAATAGGTCGCTACATCACATCAGCCGTCAAAACAAAATGAAAAACCAATTCAAGCGGCAAAAAATTGTAGAGCCCACACACAAGCACAGTATGTGTGAATACATGGCACACACACGTTTACGTAAACTGAAATCTCGAACAAAGTCGGTTTCGGCAGCTAAAAATTATTCTATGCATACAATCATATATTTTGGAGTGTACACGTACACAACACATGCATGCTTGCTGCCAGTCGGCTCGTGTGACGTCATGAGCCCAACGCGGCCATTCCCAAAGCCAAAGATCTGGGAACGTACGCTGCAAACTCAGCTGCGCCCCTTTCGTTGTATGAACTGGCACATCTATATACTGTATGGTTAGTGCCTTCGACTACCAGTAGCTGGTTTCTTATGAGCTAGTTCCGACCTAGTTACCAGTAGATCGTCAGCAACTAGTTCCCGATCGATTACCCTTCGATTACCAGTAGCTGGTTGACCAGCAGCTTTCTGGCTTTATAATAAATAAATTAAATATAAAATTGTGTTATATGAATGATTAATTCAAAATTCTTTCAAAATTCAAACTTAAAATATATATTAAAATCTAGCCTAGCCTAAACAGATTCTAACTCATTTTTTGGTTTGGTACACCTTTGCTTAAACACTCGTTTTTTCACCCTCTGCATCGCTTTGCGCATCAGCATTTCTGGTGCTTCGTCTCCAGGCGGAATACATTCTGTAATAATTATATGTTTAATTTAATTAAAATATAATAAACACTAGTAGTGTATTTTACCTAGCAAAGCTCCATAAAACTCCGAGTGGCTCCTGAGGGCTTTCTTCCCTTGTACTCCATCCACATTATACGCCAGTACGATTTCGTCACTAAAATAAATTTTAAGTTGACGAGCACTCCGGCTGGCTGTAAAATGGATTTTATTGTTGAAATCTGTAGATAGAAGGATTCAAGAAGAAGGTTTAGAAAATAAATAGGTCATTTTATTTAGAGTTTTAATTTACTTACATAAATGTCTCTATTCATTTTTACATTCTCCTCCATTTTCATCAACTGCTCGTCCGTTTCAATCGGGAACTGGTCCTGAACAGAATTCATTTCGCCCTTCTCCTTTGTAAGCTGTTTTAGCAAAACTGTTTGGTCAGCTAAAATTTTTGCTAATGCGTTCAATTGATCTGAATGGAATTTTGGTATTAATTTTGCTGATACAAATATTAATCTTTATTAGTCTTACCACGAACAACGGCATTCTCCTGCTGTAGATTTTCTGAAAGTACATATTTATTTCGATTTATAAATTATAATAATATCACATTTATTGTCTTACCACGAAAAAGAGCATTCTCCCGCTGTAGATTTTCTGAAAGTATATAAATATTCGCCTCTCCATGAAAAACCGCTGTTGATTTTCTGAAAGTTTATAATTAATTCGAGTTATTTATTCCAATTTTATTTGGAAACAAAGTTTGTATTTACCTGTCGACTTCTTGACCTCTTCCAAAATTTGCTTGCAGGTTTTACACTGCTCATTTTCTGAAAAAATAGTATTAATTTTTTTAATATAAAATACAAAGATACTTACCCTTGCTTGACATGGAGAAACGGCTAATTTTTCTGGGTGATGCCATTTTTCGTTATTAATTTTTTTGCTAAAATAAACAGATTTATACATATATATATTTTGTTTTTTTTTTTGTTTGCGGATTATGGTAATTAGGTGAATCTTCTAAAGATACCCTTGAAAGCCGACGATAAAGGGCATGCCCGATTCGTGTTGAAAAAACACGCCTACGGACTAAACACCCCCAATATAAATCTGTTTTTATTTTAGGTACTGACAAGATATTTAAATTTAAATACAATGATGAAGCAATGGAATGACTAAAATATTTCCCTCATACGGTAAACCTACACCTATATTTTGCAAATCTACAAATTCAAACCTTTCCTCTAATGCTATGGTTTCCCTATTTACTAAAGCTATTCCTAGTCCGATTGAGTTTATAGGTTCCTCATAAAAGATTCTGATATTTGAAAGTCTTTTCCCTATAACAGCTCCTCCCTCATTTGCCGTAAACCCTGTCACAATAATTGGGATATTATCAAAATTATCAGGTTCCTTTTCTGATAACACAAAATTATAAAAAAAACACTTACTACCCACTATCCTAGGATTTTTCTGTACTTTTATTTCCATTCTGTCTTCACTAATTTTTCTAAATATTTGTTCAAGAATTTTACTAGGCTTTCGGACACATTTTTTTAAAGTTTGTAAATAATTTTCAAACACATACGAAGAGCCGGAAATCGGATCTCCGATTTGATCTACAGTCTCCTTTACGTGCAATAAACTGTGTAAATTATAAGACACGCTATTTTCACCGAATACAATTGAAAAATTGTGAACAAAATGATCTAAAATGCGTTGACAAGTTTCCTTATTGTACTCACGGAGCTTAGAACTGCATAACATTCTATATGAGCAATGAAGTAACATAAACTCATAATAAAAGTCGTCACTGACTTCGTTTTTGAAGGCAATGATTCCCGTGTACAGCAAACATTGTCTAAACTCCGTGGCCTTCCAGTTACACAATTCATCTAAAGATCTAGGCCTACGCGCAAACTCTCTAGCTTTTCTGAAATGCGTTCTCTGGACTCTTTCGAACTTTTTACTTCTCACTTATTATTGACAAACCTTAACAACATCTTACGCATCACTCCTAACTCTACCAAATGCATGCAATCTAAGGGAATCTGTGTTACCATGGAAATGTTAATTTCTTCTAATATTGACAAGGATATCTTCTAAGCGCAAAATCTTCATTGGTAATTAAAACTCCTGAAGTAGTACTATAGGTCAAAATTCTGTCTACCTTTCTGGCTATCTGTGTACATTTGGCGCACCCGTGACTAGATGTGTGTCCCGGGGTGCCGCTAATAAATGCTCTTGCTGGAGCATCGCAAACTATGGCCCTAATAACAATATTTATAGGTCTGCCACAAATGGATAGACCGCCATTCTTTAATTCGTTAAATTCTAAACAAAATTTTGCTAAAAACTGCTCACAGCTATGGGGCTTACTTTTTCCTAAAAATATTCCAACTGGAAACACTGGAACATTTGGAAAATTGTTGACTCTAACTAATACGGGCCATAGCTGTGTCCTTGAACTTCTGAATAATGGAAGTCCATCAATATTTATATCAATATTTAGCTCTTCCATTATTTGAACATTCTGAAAATGGCGTTGAAGCTGCCAAGCTACGAGCCCCGACCACTATTAATTCGTACGGCAAGCTTTTTTAGCCATATGCAATGTTTAACAGACGATATTTTCAATACTAATGTAGATAACACATGCGAACTTAGTTTTCTCTGAAAGATCATTTTATTCTCTTAACCTTAGAAACAAAAAGTTTTGTTGTACTTCAACAACAACAATAATAACAAACATTTCTTTGAATGCTTTGCTTAACTGATAAGAAAAATATCAGCTAGTGTCCCTAAAAAAAATTTATTCCCAGAGAGTTTGCGCGTAGGCCTAGATCTTTAGATGAATTGTGTAACTGTAAGGCCACGGAGTTTAGACAATTTTTGCTGTACACGGGAATCATTGCCTTCAAAAACGAAGTCAGTGACGACTTTTATTATGAGTTTATGTTACTTCATTGCTCATATAGAATGTTATGCAGTTCTAAGCTCCGTGAGTACAATAAGGAAACTTGTCAACGCATTTTAGATCATTTTGTTCACAATTTTTCAATTGTATTCGGTGAAAATAGCGTGTCTTATAATTTACACAGTTTATTGCACGTAAAGGAGACTGTAGATCAAATCGGAGATCCGATTTCCGGCTCTTCGTATGCGTTTGAAAATTATTTACAAACTTTAAAAAAATGTGTTCGAAAGCCTAGTAAAATTCTTGAACAAATATTTAGAAAAATTAGTGAAAACAGAATGGAAATAAAAGTACAGAAAAATCCTAGGATAGTGGGTAGTAAGTGCTTTTTTAATAATTTTGTGTTATCAGAAAAGGAACCTGATAATTTTGATAATATCCCAATTATTGTGACAGGGTTTACGGCAAATGAGGGAGGAGCTGTTATAGGGAAAAGACTTTCAAATATCAGAATCTTTTATGAGGAACCTATAAACTCAATCGGACTAGGAATAGCTAGGAAAGGTTTGAATTTGTAGATTTGCAAAATAAAGGTGTAGGGAAATATTTGAGTCATTCCATTGCTTCATCATTGTATTTAAATTTAAATATGTTGTCAGTAGCTAAAATAAAAACAGATTTATATTGGGGGTGTTTAGTCCGTAGGCGTGTTTTTATACCCGTACTCAAAAAAGAGTTAAGGGGTATATTAGATTTGTGGTAAAAGTGGATGTGTGTAACGCAGAGAAGGAAACGTTTCCGACCCCATAAAGTATATATATTCTTGATCAGCATCAATAGCCGAGTCGATATAGCCATGTCTGTCTGTCCGTCCGTCCGTCCGTCCGTCTGTCCGTCTTGTTGAGCGCCTGGATCTCAGAGACTATAAGAGTTAGGGTAACCAAATTTGGTTTCCAGACTCATGTGATATCACACTGCTACAAGTGTATTTCAAAATTTCGCCCCGCCCCCTTCCGCCCCCACAAAGGACGAAAATCTGTGGCAGGCACAATTTTAAAGATACGATAAAACTAAAAATGCAGTATCGTAGAGAATTACCATATCTACCAGATTGCCGAATCTGAATCAGATCGGATAAAAATTATAGCCAAAATGAAGAAATTAATTTTCTGTTGCTTCCTCTGCATCCCCCTGCCAACGACCCGGTACCTATCTCTTTCTCTCTCGCACACTCTGCCGCGTTCAGTGCGCGAGCAACCCCTAGCGGAGGAGATGTAGAATCTAAATGGAACATGTACAATCTACATGTTAGATGTATAATATAAATAGTATATGTAGATGTAGATAACCGATGTAGCAAAAAAATGTAAAATGTAAAATTTTTTTTTTTTTTAATTCTAAATAATTATTTGCTTAAAAATGTATATGCTGACTGAGTACGGGTATAAGTAGAGTCGCGTCCCCAGAAGCGACTCACACGTTCCTTCTCGTTTCAACACGAATCGGGCATGCCCTTTATCGTCGGCTTTAAAGGGTATCTTTAGAAGATTCACTTAATTACCATTGTCCGCAAACCAAAAAAAAAAAAATTTATATATACATATGTATAAATCTGTTTATTTTAGCAAAAAAATTAATAACGAAAAATGGCATCACCCAGAAAAATTAGCCGTTTCTCCATGTCAAGCAAGGGTAAGTATCTTTGTATTTTATATTAAAAAAAATTAATACTATTTGTTCAGAAAATGAGCAGTGTAAAACCTGCAAGCAAATTTTGGAGGTCAAGAAGTCGACAGGTAAATACAAACTTTGTTTCCAAACAAAATTGGAATAAATAACTCGAATTAATTACAAACATTCAGAAATTCAACAGCGGTTTTTCATGGAAAGGCGAGTAAGGATTAATGTAACATTTTTTGTATTATCGAAATATTTATATACTTTCAGAAAATCTACAGCGGGAGAATGCTCTTTTTCGTGGTAAGACAATAAATGTGATATTATTATAATTTATAAATCGAAATAAATATGTACTTTCAGAAAATCTACAGCAGGAGAATGCCGTTGTTCGTGGTAAGACTAATAAAGATTAATATTTGTATCAGCAAAATTAATACCAAAATTCCTTTCAGATCAATTGAACGCATTAGCAAAAATTTTAGCTGACCAAACAGTTTTGCTAAAACAGCTTACAAAGGAGAAGGGCGAAATGAATTCTGTTCAGGACCAGTTCCCGATTGAAACGGACGAGCAGTTGATGAAAATGGAGGAGAATGTAAAAATGAATAGAGACATTTATGTAGGTAAATTAAAACTCTAAATAATATGACCTATTTATTTTCTAAACCTTCTTCTTGAATCCTTCTATTTACAGATTTCAACAATAAAATCCATTTTACAGCCAGCCGGAGTGCGCGTCAACCTAAAATTTATTTTAGTGACGAAATCGTACTGGCGTATAATGTGGATGGAGTACAAGGGAAGAAAGCCCTCAGGAGCCACTCGGAGTTTTATGGAGCTTTGCTAGGTAAAATACACTACTAGTGTTTATTATATTTTAATTAAATTAAACAGATAATTATTACAGAATGTATTCCGCCTGGAGACGAAGCACCAGAAATGCTGATGCGCAAAGCGATGCAGAGGGTGAAAAAACGAGTGTTTAAGCAAAGGTGTAACAAACCCAAAAATGACTTAGAAACTGTTTAGGCTAGGCTAGATTTTAATATATATTTTAAGTTTGAATTTTGAAAGAATTTTGAATTAATCATTCATATAACACAATTTTATATTTAATTTATTTATTATAAAGCCAGAAAGCTGCTGGTCAACCAGCTACTGGTAATCGAAGGGTAATCGATCGGAAACTCGTTGCTGACGATCTACTGGTAACTAGGCCGTATCCAGCGCCTAAGAAACCAGCTACTGGTAGTCGAAGGGTAATCGATCGGGAACTAGTTGCTGACGATCTACTGGTAACTAGGTCGGAAATAGTGGTTACGCCCTAGGACATGCATGTGTTAAATTCTCCGCTGAAATACATTGTCGTGGAAACGAAGCGGAACTAGGGACATGAGAATGGTAGCTAGTTCGGCACCGGTACCGAACTAGTTGCCTGGTACTAGAGGGACATGACACACACACAAACATTTACGTAACTTGGAAACGATACTCAAAACAAACTCAAAACGGTTTCGGAAAATAAGAATTCATAAATATTGTCGTGTCTGTGTACACACATACATTTGCAATTCTCGGCTTGCTTTCGCATCTCGTCATGAATCTCAGGGCCACGACCCGAACGTCTCAGCACCACAGCCGAATGGTCCCAGCACCCTAGCCGAAGACCTGGGGTGCTGAGACAGAAACCTCAACAGCGCCCCTTTCGTTGTATGAACTGACACATCTATATACTGTATTGTTAGTGGCAGTACTCAGGCCTTAAAGGCCTGTCTCCAGCACCGCGGAAAATTGCGGCAAGGAATTTGCTAGTTACTCCGTGAGGGTGTGGAACTTAGCTAAAACAGGGTTGATGAATCAGCTGTGTTTTGTAAACAGAGGCAACTGTAAAATTCTGCTAAAATTAAAAAAGAAAAAAAATGCACTCTAATGATGAAGTGAATTTTCATCTCTCTTTTTGGTTTTGCGGACAGTTTTTGCCAACATCTTGCACCATTCACTTCAGGAAGAATTGTAAAGTATATATTTCTGAGCTGGGTATCAGCTGTTCTCTCAGTCCACACACGGTCCCGATGGGCAACTATCGATATAAATCTGTGGATTCCGCTCGTGTTTCTGGATACACACTCCAGGAATACGTAATCGAAACATTCCTGTCACAGTTGTTTTTATATGGAGTTTGACAGGAATTTTTCGATTCCGCAGTGCTGGATACTATGCTTAAACAAAAAAAAGGTCGGTATATACTGGAAAAGTATCCGAGTATTTGCCTGTTTTTTTTGGTATGAGCAACCTCGAAAATTATATCAGTTTGATATATTTTGTCAGCAAACACGAAGCAAACATTGCAATATGAGAACAAAAAATCTAACGAAATATTTCAATAATGAAGACAAATAGAATCTAATTAATGCAGTATTATATGAATGACAATTATATGGATATTATAATTTAATAATTAATTTAATTTATTATTATAATTTATTATCAATATCTTGGAAAAAAAAAACAAAAATACTGACTCATTTCTTAAAACTATTAATTTTTGTTTGATATCTATTCGTCATTTAGCCATTGGTTTTTGATATGCGCAAAACATTGTCCATTTTAAAGCCTAGTACTCAGATCCAAAGACTGTTTGCTAGCAAACAAATGTTTTTTTGTTGTTGTTGATCTAAGTACTGCCTCCGTACAGAGCCTAGAAAACAAATTTTGCCCGAAAAAATTTCTTATCGGTTTCATACGAATATCAACCCTGATTCTGTTCGCAAGGTGTTGTTTCGGATCTGTCTACTAGGCTTTATGCACTAACCAAACAGTATATATTTAGAAGTGCCAGTTCATACACCGAACGTGTCGCAGCTGAGTTTTCAGCGTACGTTCCCAGGTCTTCGGCTCTGGGGCCGATCGTTCAAATCACTTGTTATATGGTATCTAAGCAACATAAATTTATTGACAAAGTTGATAGTACGGCAGCAACGAAGTCAAATGCCGACGGCATTTACACAATATTTATATACCTAAGTAAAAATCAATGAATATGATAAAAAAAAAGTGGTAAAAAATCAAAATACACGTATGCATACATATATATATAGAAGGACATACGTTTGTACATGATTTTATCGCAATAAAAAGTTATCTGAAAAACTACACAAGCACAGTATGTGAGAATACATGGCACACACACATTTACGTAAACTGAAATCTCAAGCAAAGTCGGTTTCGGCAGCTAAAAATTATTCTATGCATACAATTATATATTTTGGAGTGTTACACGTACACACATACATGTTTGCTGCCAGTCGGCTCCTGTCACGTCATGAGCCGACCGCGAGCGTTACCAGAGCCAAAAACCTGGGAACGTACGCTGAAAACTCAGCTGCGACACGTTCGGTGTATGAACTGGTTAGTGCTTTATGTCAGTGAATGCAGTGAAACATCGATGATAAAAAAAACATCGATGATGTCGATGTTTTTGCAGCCCTACAAGTCCTAATCTTTTATCTACCACGGTTTTCGCTTCACAATTCGTAAAAACATTTAAATTTCTGGCTGAAAAAATAGTTTAACAACTTAGCTGTATTCAACTAAAACAATACGTAAAGGTGAGTGTTCTACCAATAACAAGAGATGAAAAGACGAAATGTATGCATTTCAAAACGATTGTGCAGGGCGACAAAAAATACGCACACACAGGCGCAATCATATATGCATTTCAATGACGCGTGCCTGCATATGTGTGGATGTTTGTGGCTTGTTTTTCCTACATATCTATATATCGCACTTTTTCCCCATTTCCAGGAAAACAATATCCAAAATGCCCAGCATTAAACTGCAGTCCTCGGACGAGGAAATATTTGATACCGATATCCAGATCGCAAAGTGCTCAGGAACTATCAAGACAATGCTTGAGGATTGCGGAATGGAGGATGACGAGAATGCCAGTGTCCCTCTGCCGAATGTGAATTCCACCATTTTGCGTAAGGTATTGACCTGGGCCCACTACCATAAGGACGATCCCCAGCCCACTGAAGATGACGAGAGCAAGGAGAAGCGCACCGACGACATCATCTCGTGGGACGCCGATTTCCTTAAGGTAGACCAGGGCACACTCTTCGAGCTAATCCTGGCCGCCAATTATCTGGATATCAAGGGTTTGCTCGAACTGACTTGCAAGACCGTGGCAAATATGATTAAGGGCAAGACCCCAGAGGAGATACGTAAGACTTTCAACATTAAAAAGGACTTCACTCCCGCCGAGGAGGAGCAGGTGCGCAAGGAGAACGAGTGGTGCGAGGAGAAGTGAGATGAGCTAACAAGGAAGCGGTGGGCCATCAGGCCGTCCTCAGCTGCCGGCTGATAACACAATAATTTAATAATTTTAATTAATTCGATGTAGTTTGTCATTCACAAAATACAAAAATATGCGTAATTTGTGAAGCATATGCGTAAGAAACACAGCTTCACACTTGGCAGCACTTGTCTTGCCAAGGCCCTGGATCAACGGTCTGCGTTTGCCGACATGCTGCGTGTTCCTTTTATCATCGAAGAGTTTAGGGATAAATTTTTACTTTGGTGGAAATGCTTCCGACCCCATAAAGTATATGATCAGCATCAACAGCAGAGTCGATATAGCCGTGTCTGTATGTCTCGATGAGCGCCTAGTTCTCAGAGACTATAAGAGCTAGAGCAACCAAATTTAGTATCCATACTGCTGTGATATCACACTGCAACAAGTGTATTTCAAAATTTAGCCCCGTCCCCTTCCACACCCACAAAGCAGTAAACTCTCTCATCCAAAATTGCAAACATACGATGAAACCGAAAACACAGTAACGTAGTGAATGACCAGATTGCCGAATCTGAATCAGATTGGACTATTAGGTTCGGTTAGGTTAATAAACTATAATAAACAAATCGAATTGCCTTGTGGGTAGCCTCTTGCCATGGCTCACAACGTTCTCACTCGATCTTTCTTGAAATTCAACGAACCTTGACCATTAACACATAATTTTTTCGGAATCTATGTAATATACCCGTATTAAAAAAAATGTATTTAATGTTTCCAAAAAGTACATTTTTTTATTTTTATACCTGTGAAGATATGTGTACATAAAAATGTATATTCAAAATTGAGAGCATGTTGTAGCCCACAGAAATACGCATCTCCGAGTCAAAAAAGTATACAATTGTGTTCAATGAAATAGTAGTGCCGCACCTCACTACTTTCAAAACTCTTTTTGAGATAGTTCTAGTCTTTCAAATTGAACAAGTGATACCTTTACGGAAAGCCTGGAATGTAGGCATTGGATAACCGAAGAAACACCGTTACATTTGCATTCCATCTTCTTGTTTTTCATGACTTTAGATAACTACCCATGATATCTTCTGTTTCAATGAAATAGTAGTGCTAGATTAAATTAATTTTTAAAAATGAAAAAACAAAGCAAATTAATTTAAATAAGCCACCATCCGCAAGCTCAATTCAAAAATCGAATAATTTGATGAAAGAAAGTTTTGGACATAGCGGTACTTTTGATTTTGAAGCGTTAAAGAAATCATTGCTCGGTCCAGAAGAGGATACTCAAGAGTTAGACTAAAAACTTAAGGCAGAAGGTATATTGGAATTGAAAACTAAGTTGTATGCACTAGAGGTGGAAAAACATCGATGCTACTATCGATGCATCGATGTTTTTAAAATTTTTATAAGCATCGATGTTTTTTGGCGAAACATCGATGTTTTGCTTTTATGTTTTTGTCGTCTATGAAAGAAAAACCTAAAGAGAGAAGAAGATCAAGCTCAAATGGTTACATTTTTACATGCCATTTAAAGCTGAAGCCCAAAAATATTTGTGCGTCCCGGCAACATCCTACGGGGTAACGACATATCTCCGGGCGACATATGTATATCCTGCCATTACTTTTTCTAGCAGGAGATATGTCGCTAAATTCTGGGCGGAGATATAACGCCAATCTCCGCGAGGAGATATGTGTGTCGTTTCAAAATCTCCGTGCGGAGATATGTCGTTAGGGTCTGCCAGGAGATATGTCACCCTGAGGTATGTCGCTATGCCCATCCTACGAGTCAGAG